ACAGACGTGGCGGGATTCAGCTTTAATGTATTGGCATCCCCCTTTTTACACTTGTCTCTGAATACATAGATACAGCCGTTGCAGCTTGCAATCTTCCAGAGGGAGGGAACTCGGCTCCAAACCTCTGGGAAGCGCAGTCTCGTGAAGCTGTCAAGCAGTGGATTGTAACACACCAAAGAGTCGCCCTCGGCCACGATAAAGATCAAATCCTTGTGAATGGCTGCGTGCATTCGCCCAGCAAAGGGAAGGAGGTACGACTTCAAGTGGCATGCCCTCGATCGCGTGTCAAAGCACTGGATGAGACGGGACGGTTTTGTAAAGAAATCCAGGTCATTCTCCTCTCCGCCCAGAAGATAGATTGTTCCGTTAAGGTTGACACCTGCGGCAGATGAAACCGCTGTGTCAAGTTGATTGGTTTCCACCCACACGTTATCATGCACTTGGTAGTACATGATAGCACTGGAGAGCGTATCCTGAAGGGTTTTGCCGCCCAGTGAGTAAATGGCATCCTCACTTGGCACAGAAACCAGTGTGTGCTGAAGGCGATCTCTTGGCAGGGATGCGCACTGTTCCCAGTCCATCGTCTCCATATTACACTTCCACATGCGGCGCGGGATGGGGCCTCCCACCACGTACAGGTCGCTGCCGTGCTTACATGCTGCCGTGATCTGCTGCCGAAGTCTGTTCTGCCCGCTGACACTGATTGTGTCGTCGTCGCAGTGCAGGGATACTGCCAGAGAGTGTGTCCGTGTGTCTTCCTTCCCGATCAGATAGATATGAACAATTTCACTGATCTCCTGTTTGAAACAAAGATTGCGATATGGATCAGTACAATTAGCTGTTTAATTAGCATCTTCTTTCGACTCAGAACTTGAGAAGCAGATTCTGTTATTTATAGCCTTTCTTTTTCAGACAGAATGACTTGTTTATGTTTTATAACAAAAGTGAAAGAATTAATTGATTTTTTGTTTCTTGTTGACAGCACCAGTATATCTGAGAGGCTGGAACAAAATGTCCCATCAGTAATTGGTGAACCAGGACAAAAGCTACTGCCTCCTCTGGGCAACAAAAGCCATGTTTATATAACCAGCTTTGATCCGACTTTTTCAAGATGGGATCGTGGCTGCTGATGTAAAGGTAACTGAGATGCGAAGAGGAATGTCCCAGTCTTCAACATCTTACGTGAACTATCTGCAATTTTACCAATACCTTTGATAGTTGGATTTAAACAGTAAACCCTGCATATAACAATTTTAATTTGTTGCTCATATTTCACCATAAACTTCCTAAACAATTATGGAAATTTATATGGATTTTTGAACCCTGTGTGGATCATCTTTTTGATAACTTTGCACCGGTCCGTCTGAAGCATCCATTTTACATTCATTGACAAACTTTAAAGGTCAGAACCTTTAGGCTGGATGTCAGGGTCTCAGAGAGTCCTGCTCGCTCTTCCTTGTTGTGTTCTATCCAAGCTTCTATGGCTTTTGCTGGCTTCTGAGAACTAGGAACACCATCTAGAGTATTTTGAAAGAAAAAGGTTATTCAGTTTCCTTGCAGTAATTTGACAGAAATGTAGTCATTCTAACTCAACTTAAGCCCAATGTAGTTTCTATTGGAGAAAGCTGCAGGTCTTATCCCCAAATTACCTGTATGCTCTATAACCTTTTGAGGCTCCCTCAAATGTTCCAGTTGGATTGCAAGTAAAAGCGCAACAAAAAAATCTAGTACCTTTGATGATGTCTGTGAGGAGTCTCAAAGGCAGTTCCAGGAAATCTTCAGTCTGGTGAACCTGCGATAGGTGCGTCTTTGCACATTGCTTTGCTGCTGTGTAGAGCTTCTGATCGCTGTGCTGATCTGCTAACCACATGACCTGCAAACATGTCCTGACGTCTACTGTCCGAGCTAGGAAACGAGAACACTCCTCAAAGAGTGATGTCAACTGGTACATGTCTGCCACCTCGTACATCTCCTGAAGGTCCTCTACCCTCAGCTTTACAGTACCCCGATAAATATAATCCACTAGGAGCTGAAAGACACTGGCATTCACATCTTTGAGTTCTATAAACTGATTACGAGCTTCCTTTAAGTTTGAGGTGAACATGGACCGAAAGAAACAGCTCTGAGCAGAAAGCACCAGCCGATGGAGCTGGAAATCTTTGCCTTCTACAGAGATAACGACATCTGCAAATTGTCTGTCCTCAAGGCACAGATCCATAATGCTTCGCGCAACTCGTGCAGAATGTAACTTATCCGTGAAGGTGTAGCTCACAAAGTAACTTTCATCTGTAGGACCAGCGATGGTTGCACCTCCTGCATCTCCACTTGGCTCCATATTACAAACGAAGATCGAAAACCTATGGAAAGAGTGTTCTCTTCAGAACATTGTCATTTAGTTACTACAAGTGTAATTTGTTTCTACACAAAATAGTGATCCCTGTCACTATTCCTGATCCATATATCACATATGTTGTGACATCATCCATAGTTATCCATTGACTGAAAAGCCTGCCAACATTCACTGTTCATTAGATCTGAATGTAACTGCTTAATGTTGAACGATACATTATTAATCAAAAAATATTGCACCCCGAAACAGATCTGAGGTGAAATGCTCAATGTTTTATTCGTGGTGGTCGGTGACAAAAGCTCCTTTGGGGAAGCGAGCAAAGGTACAGGAGTGGACGCCAGGGCACTGGAGTAAAATAGTTCAAGTCAAGGAAGAGGAGGCTGCTGCCCTGGAAACGGCTGAGATGCGAAGGGCCAGAAAACAGGGATCCTGGTTACTGCTCAGGGTGTGTGTGGCTGGTGGACAACAATAATAATAATAATTCTCGCATTTGATTTGAGCGCTTTATCACATCGTTGAGACATCTCGAAGCGGCACCACAGAACATATTCCAGTCAGAGGGCGAAACCTTGGGCAAGTTTCCTTACTCCACACAGAGCCTAATAATAATCCCTCCAAAACAAAAAACAATAATAAATTGGTCATTTTCAATCTACGACTGTTTGTGGGACATTGCTGTGCGCAATTGGCTGCCGCGTTCGCCCACAAAAAATACAGTCAATTCACTTTACAGTGTGTTCTGTGAAGCGCTTTGGGACGTCCTCCCGACGTGAAAAGCGCTATATCAAATGCAAGGATTATTATATTGTAGTGGAGTGACCGCGTATTTGGTGGCCGAAGCCGATTGCGCGCATCCGCAGCAGCGTCCCACAAGCGACGAGTGGCGGATTGAGCGGCCGAATCCGTCACACGCACTCCCGCCCGCGCACAGAGATGCTGCATTCCAGCCTTTGGCCTGTCCGAGCCGGGGCGGGCGGGTGGGTGGGGGGTGGGGGTGGGTGGGGGGGGGGGGGTGTGGCGGGTGGTGGGTGGGGGGGGGAAAGAAGAATAGAAAGCGAGACCTGCCACGGGAGACGATCAATACAGGAAGAGTACGGTCAAACCTTTTTACTCTTACGCTTTCGTGACGGGGGCCATCTACGTGTAAGGAACAGACATGTTCAATAAAATGGGTTTTGCAGTCATGACTGTAAACGTAGTGACTATTTTTTTTGGGGGGGGTGGGGGGGGGGGTGTTGTGGGTGATGTGGGGGTGGGGGGGGGGGAGGGGGGAGAAGGGGGTACAGATTTTGCACAAAGCAAGGCCAGGCCCCACAAGCAATGCCAAGAGGTGAAAATAATCAAGTGGTGGAGGGGACACACACACACATACACACACACACACACGTGGAAAGGAGAGTGAGAGAGAGTGAGAGGAGAGAAAAAAAAACGAGGAGAGAAAGAGAGCGAGGCCTCGGCTTCAGGGCGGGGTCGGAGAAGGAGGAGATACCACACCCTCTCCTCCCTCTTTTGATCTCCATTTAAATTCCTCGCGTTTATTGTCAGCCGCGTCTAAAAAAAAACCACACACACACACACACGAACGCATAACACGAACCCTCCCCCACACACACACACACACTCCCTCCCTCCCTCCTCACCTCACGCAAAGGACCGGGGGCCTGAGCTGAGCTGAGCTGAGGATCCGAAGGTTTCCTCCCGTCCCGAGAAAGCCGAGGTCTCTGTGCGTGTGTGTGTCTGTGTGTGTGTGTCTGACTGACTGTGACTGACTGACGGCTCGAGGGGAGGGGAGGGGGGGGGAGGGGGGGAAGGTATACCCGGGGACACCAGGCGCCTCCTCGCGCGGAGCCTATTGTCGGACGGACCCACCTCCTCCCCTCCCGCTCCTGGTTTCCGGTTCCGTTGCCATGGCGGCCAGTCTGCTCAGCCTCGCTCGGGCCGGCATTCGCAGCAGCCTCAGGAGGAGTCTGGGTGAGGGGCGGCGGCGGCGGCGGCGACCAACACCCCCCTCCCCTTCCCCCCCCCCCCCCCCCTCTCCTCACCACACACCTGTCAGACCCCACCCCGCCCCCCCACCAAGACCCTAAACCCCGCGAGCCGCCGTTTGACCTTCGCGGTGCGGATACGCCTCCCCCCCCACTTCACCTCCTGCAGCCACAACAACAACAACCACCACCGTGACCAGACTGGGGGTTGGGGGGGGGGGGTGACACTGCCTTACCGGAGGCTTCCTCCTTGGTGGGGGGGGGGAGTGTGGGGAGGAGGGGGGGGGGAGTGTGGGGGGAGTGTGGGGAGGAGGGGGGGAGTGTGGGGAGGAGGGGGGGGGGAGTGTGGGGAGGAGGGGTGGGGGGAGTGGGGGGGGAGTGTGGGGAGGAGGGGGGGGGAGGAGTGGGGGGGGAGTGTGGGAGGAGGGGGGGGGAGGAGTGGGGGGGGAGTGTGGGGAGGAGGGGGTGGGAGGAGTGGGGGGGAGTGTGGGGAGGAGGGGGGGGGGAGTGTGGGGGGAGGAGGGGTGTGTGTGTGTGAGGCTAAGGCTTAAACTGAGGCTTTCCTCCCCTTCCCCCCCCCCCACCACTAGACGTTAAAACATTTCCCAACCGCACCATTGGGGGGGAAAAGAGAAGGGAGTTTCTCCTGGTGTTCCCCCGATCAGCTCCGGATCACTTCGTTGTTCACTTCTTGGCGTTTTGTCAGGAACCCAGCCGGCCGGGTGTCTTGTTCGACCCTCAACGGTCTTTTCTCTCCCCCCACCCCCCCCCCCCCCCCACGTCCAAGCCACCACCCGCCCTGCCTTCCCTCCCCTCCGTAACATCGCCCGACTCCGCCACTACATCACCCCTCAGCGCTTCATCACCTCCAGGCTCGACCTCGCAAACGCCCTGCTTGTCGGCCTTCCCAACTCCTCCCTCCACAGGCTGCAGATCATCCAGAACTCTGCAGCCCGTGTCCTCTCCCGCACCAAACTCCGTGACCCCACCTCCCCCACTCTCGCCCGACTCCATTGGCTCCCTGTCCTTCAGAGGATCCAGTTCAAGATCCTGGTCCTCACCTACAAAGCCCTCCATGGCCTCGCCCCACCCTATCTCTGCGACCTCCTAACCCCCCTACCAACCCGCCCATTTTCTCCGGTCAGCTTGCTCCACGTCCCCCGACCCACCCGCCCCACCATTGGCGGGAGAGCCTTCAGCCACTCTGCCCCCAACCTCTGGAATTCCATCCGCCAATCACTCCAACTTGCCGCCTCCTTCAAGTCCCACCTCAAAACCCTCCTCTTTGACCATGCCATTGGCCACCCCCCCCCTTCCCCTCCCTTCTTCCCCCCCCCCCCCGACCTTAGCTCGGGTCTGAAATGCTGTAAACTGTACGGCGCCCTGGGACGTCCTCCCAACATGAAAGGCGCTATGCAAATGTAATCGTGTTGTTGTTTGTGGGACTTCTGCCTTTTTGTGCAAAATCTGTACCCCCAAAAATGTCAGTTTAGAGTAATTACCGTAAAATGCTTTAAAATGTGTTGACATAAATGTTTTACAATGATTATTTCTTACATAAATGCTCTGTACAATCGAGTGAAAGGTTTGACAACATTCTTTCTATTTTCTAGCCGCTTGTCGCAACCCTCTATTGTCACAGACAAGGTCTGAAGGAAGCGCAACTGAAACCAAACGTAAGTAAAAAGCCAATCAAGACATTATTGATCTGGATGTTTAATAACATGGACGACCTTTTGTATCACTGTCTTTGGGAACCATCTGAAAAAGCACTTTTTAGAGAATATGGTGGTTCTGGCATCTGCATGTGAAAGAGTGACCAACGTCTGAGGAGGTGCCGTAATGAGTGTGACAATGTCAGTCTTCTGAGGAACAAGCTTGCTACTATTGAATGTGGAAGTGTTATTCTTCTGGAGTATGGAAGCTCCACAAGAATAATGGCCAAGGCACATCATTGGGAGTAGCGTTGAGATTTTGCGAGGTCTTAATGTTAGACTTGAAAAGTGAAATGTTTTACGCCTTTTAAAAGAGTGCAGGTCAGTCAAAAGCGAGAATCAATTCAATAAGGAATTTGTGATGAGAAAAAATTACTTGTTTATCTTGCAGCTACCGTTCGACCAAGTGATGAATTACTGAACCACCAGCTGAGTGCATTTGGTGAATATGTTGCTGAAATTCTTCCTAAATACGTGCAGCAGGTGCAGGTAAGACCATCAGTGTTTCACTGGCCCCTAGTCAGGTATCAAAGAAAAATCGACCCTCTTTGATTTCGAACAAACCATGTCCCATTAAATGTACTGAACTGTCTTAATTGTCCAGTCTCACGTACATAAATACTTTTGCCTTGTCTTTGTTGAACAGGTAACTTGTTTTAATGAGTTGGAGGTAATGATCCATCCGGAGGGCATAATTCCGGTGCTAACATTTCTGCGGGATCACACCAATGCTCAATTCCAATCACTTATTGACCTGACTGCAGTGGATATCCCTGCTCGGCAGAATAGATTTGAGGTGAGAGCGAAACCCTCCTGGGATTGTTTCATAACATTTTATAAATCTTTGAATAATATTTTTATTTACAATAAAATACAAACAGAATTAAAGGCAAACATACGAACAGAGTGATTTAGACTTTTTATTCACAAGCTTCTTATGTGCAGGTATCAACATAAATTTGCTATAAATTTTGATGGCAACCAATTCTCACTATTATCTAAACACTACTGAGTTAAAGTGCGGGATGGATAATGGATGGACCTTATTTAAGAGGAGGATGGGTTTGGACGTTGGAGGGGGAGAGGGTGTGGGAACCAGTGCCTGGGGGAGTGGGGGGGAGAGGTCGCTGTGGAGACACCCCCACACTGGAATCTTATGTTACAAGGTGTATCAGAACCACTGTTGTATTTTAAAAAACTACTAAAATTACGCGATTAAGTGAACTTTCAAAGTAAAATTTAGCAATTATTACAAAGAATGTTTCTTCATGTGCATTCTTCAACATTCTGTTTTAGTGGAGGAATGTTCTTTATGATGAAATGTTAAATTGCAACCATTTCAGATTCATAAAAGGTTTTATCCTGCACTATATTCCAACCATAATGACAGTAGAAGGAGAACAATCAAACCATCTTGCCCTGGGGTGGGGGACTGACTTTTCCACACACATTTGCAGTCCATACAGCTGACAAAATTTATAAGTCACATGTACTAAACTGGATTGTTATATTAAAATAAATCATGAACTCAACTGCTGTTTCACAACTCAGTTCTGAAATGCACAATCTGCCGCTGTTATCGTTTGGATTCCATTTCAGAAATTGTTTTCCTTCCAACAGCTTGTATACAATTTGTTGTCGCTGCCTTTTAACTCCCGCATCCGGCTGAAGACGTACACTGATGAGCTGACCCCGGTAGATTCTACAGTCTCAGTGTTTGAGGCTTCAAATTGGTATGAGCGAGAGGTGAGATGAAACAATTGGATGAAAGGTGGCTACTTTTTAAAAAAAAAAATGACCCTTAATGGTAATTGGTCAGTTCCAAGCGATTTGCACGTGAAAGAAGCTGGTTACTGCCCCTCAGGTTAACTTTCACATGATTTCCCCAAGTTTTCAATACTGACTTTGAAGATAGAACTTGCTATGTTTTTTTATTTCCAGGTTTGGGATATGTTTGGTGTGTTTTTTGCCAACCATCCAGACCTGAGGAGAATCCTCACAGATTATGGATTTGAAGGCCATCCTTTTCGCAAAGACTTCCCACTCACTGGCTACGTCGAGGTATTTTTTCAAGAATTTTAATTCTCCTGAATTCCATTGGTTTATTGATTGTGGACTTCTTTCTCATTGTATTTATGGAGGGTTGGGGTATTCTGAGCCAGAATCCTTGTAATGGATTTACGAGGAAAATAGTTTAAAGCAATTGTAAATAAATTTGTCATTGAGCGTAATATAATAATCCTTGCATTTGATTATAGTGCCTTATCACATTGTTGAGACGTCTCTAAAGCGCTTCACATAATAAGCTGTATGACTGTGTATTTTCTGGAACTCTCTCCCTTAATCCCTCCACTTTGCCCCCTCCCTCCCCACTTTCAAATCCCACCTAAAGACCTTTTTGATCGTGCTTACAGTCACCTCCCCTCTCCCCCAGGCTCGGTGTCAGATTCCGCCACTGTCAAGCGCACCAGGACTCTTCCCATGTAAAGGGCACTATATAAATGCAAGTTGTTGCTGTTGAAACGCGGCAGCCAATTGCGCACAACACCACATTAATGCAATGCAAGCAATGCCATGCTTTTGTCTGTGTTCCTTTCCTCTAGGTCCGTTATGATGATGAGTTGAAGCGTGTAGTTGCTGAGCCTGTTGAACTTTCCCAGGAATTCCGTAAGTTTGACCTTAACAGCCCATGGGAGGCATTCCCAGCGCACCGGGAGCCACCTGAGCTACCAAAACTTGAGGGAGGAGAGAAAAAACCTGAGACAAAATGAAGCAAGACAGCCAAAGTTTGGGAACGTTCTTGCCTGATGTTACTTTTTAACGTGGATCTACCTGTATTCTGTAATACCTTAATGGTTCATGCGTTATTTAATGTAAATAAATACTGATATTCAGCCAATGATCCTGTTGCCGGACTCATTCGTGTTAATGGAAACAATACTGCCACATGTGTTGCATGTGATGTTTCTAATCCGGGATTGGTAGCATGGAGTGTTCATGTGTTGCAATCTGCTCTGAAACCTCTGCGTTCTCTCCGTACTCAGTTTTACCTGAAACCTAGTTACATTAACGTCTTTCTTTAAATAAATTACTAAAGTAGTCAAAGGCCTGTGAAAACTACTGTTTAGAGGGGATTGTACTGTCTATATGTATTAGATTATGTACATTGTAAATTTCAATGGACTTTTGACAACAGTTGGATCCTGAGATTACCTCTCAGTACGAGTCATTGTGTCTAGGCTTGAAAATACAAGACATTGCTGCTGTTCATTGCATTTTTATTCTGTGTGTTGACTAGGAGTGAGCGTTAAAGTATTGAAATGATGAAAATATGAGGCATTGCATTTGCATTCTGCGTGCCGCATTTGATAGCAGTGTCGGAGTGATATAAGTGAAATATACAATTCTAGTGCAGACTTTTATTAGGAAACGTTAAGGCCGTCAAACAAAGTGGAAAACGTCATAATTGCCTTTTACTTTTGTTTAGGAATGCACTTAACTTACATTCCTCTGTAGAAGTATAAAGAAAGATGGAAACTTTGTAAACTCAATTCCTTACTATATTTTAAAACGTTTTCAAATTCCCAATCCAAAATGTGACTGTTGCACTCAATTTGATTGAAAGTATCCACACTGTAGGTTGTAAGGGTTGCATTGAGACTGAATAGTTTTCAATGAGAGTAGTAATCTTCCTCATACCAGAACGGACTGATTCAATAATAGAAGCATTTCTACTGGAGCTGTCTGAGATTGGGGTTGTGGTGTTTCGTTATCCGACTGAGTAGCTAATGCTGACCCTGAATAACCAAAGCAGAAACCATTTCTATTTCCCGGTGTTGATGTGCGCATTTTATATTTGGAACAATTTGTCACTACAATTTACACTATGACCACCAGAGGGTAACCTTGTGCCAGTTCTGATTCGTATGAATGATGAGGTTAGCAAAAGCTTAAATTAGCCATAAAGAATAATTCTTATGCAGCAATCCTGTCTGACTTGAGCAATTGTTTGTAATCCCCCCCATGAAAGAACGTATACATGGAGTTATTAAAGTATTTGCGACATTGCTGGAAAAGAATTTCAGAGGGTGCTGCTGACAATCAGCAGCAAATCCACTGTGACGTCGGTCAGAGAGAAGTTTCTGACTAAAATGGCGATTTCACTACATTGAACGTCAATTCAAACTATAGAAATTTAACAAAGTAGGTATGACCTCACAGTGTCACTAAAAAAGACCAACAATCTTACTGCTGACGTTGATATATTCGGGAATGGGATATGGAAATTTGTAACTATAAAGTAAATTTTTACTGTGAAAGTTAGTCCCGAGAGAGAGATTAAAAAAAACTGTTTTTGTCAATAGTCATCAACTGCATTAAGAGCAAATTCAAGCAAATCCAATTTGCCTATTGGGAGGCAGAATGCTTTTACAACAACTTACAAAAATTGATCTTCCAATGAACAGGACAAAATGTTACAATGGTTGAATCAGAAAGCAGTCTTATCTCCTAATCTGCAGTCGCTAGGATAGTTAGTAAAATGATGTATTTTTCTACTTATTACTTCCTCTTAACAGTTTTTTGTTAGCTCTCTCTTTTTGGGACTAGCTTTCACAGTAAAAGTAGTACACTTTATGGTCACAAATGTTCATATCCCATCCACATTGCAGAACATTCCCACGAAAGTAGGAAGATGGTGGTTTTTTTCAGTGACACTGAGAATAACCTGCTTGAGTTGCGGTTTTATTTCTGAAACCCGATTCTTAGAATACTTTGACTAGTGTGCACTATCGTTGGGAGATTTGAGGAAATGCTGGTTTGTTTAGCTTGGCTGGGAACAGTTCTATGCAAATTTCAAAGAATGAGGAAAAACCTGAGTTAAAAATGGAGGCGGATAAAACGATAGTAGAGTTATCACTGCCAACTTGCATTTAAAAGGCGCTCTTTACGCTTTGTAATAAATGTAAAGAATGAGCCCTGTACCATGCAATCAAAGTTGCCAGACAATAAGTAGAGTGCGGATATTTTATTGGATTGTTTATTCTTAATGTTACTACCATCCTTTTAACTAATACATTCAACATATACACTATTAATTCTGAACTCACACTCTCGCGAACAGCACCTTGACCTGGTGCCACAACACGTGATCAACAGTCTCACCTCCTGGTGATGGCGGACTGACACCACAGTTTGGAACCGAGCGCAATTGGATCCCAACTCTGTCCTTTACCCGGCACCGGTATAACCCTCAGCCCCCGAAATGGCGTTAGGGATGTATCCATTCTCATAGTCTGGACAACAGCGGCAGGCTGAAGATTCTTGATTTCCACCGTGAGAGGTGTTACCCAACTGTTGCGTCGAATTACTCTTTTTTCCCTTATCTTTATGCCCCTTTACCGCCTTTGGATATTGACCAGATATTCCCCTGTTGATCCTGTTATCTGGTGTGAAATTTTTTTTGCTCAGTATTCCTACTCTAGTTAACCTACTTATTCTAAACAATACCCTTTTGTGTATCATTCTTTTCCTTATCTCAACTAAAAGAGTGGTTCTCAAACATCCCGTTCTTTCTTAAAGCATCTGATGTAAACACCTCCTCCATTCAGCCCTAATCTCCCTTCTGTCTCGTGACCCATTGGACCTTGAAGAATCAAGAAATGTCTCAGTTGATGTATTTGTGATCACATCCTTCAGAGGATCCAGTTCAAGATCCTGGTCCTCACATACAAAGCCCTCCATGGCCTCGCCTCACCCTACCTCTGCGACCTCCTAACCCCCTATCAACCCGCCCGTTCCCTCCGCTCAGCCGGCTCTGGCCTGCTCCACGTCCCCTGACCCACCAGCCCCACCATTGGCGGAATTCCATCACTCATTCAGTCACTCCGCCTCACCCCCTCCTTAGCTCGGGACTGAAATGCTGTACTCTGTCCACGCCTTGGGGCGTCCTCCCGACATGAAAGGCGCTATACAAATGTAATCTTGTTATTTAACTGAGTGCGTCTCCTGTTTATTGTCCTCCCCACTCTACCATGTTTGAAGCAACTGGTGCTGGCCTGTCCGTCTTCACGTTCTGCTGACCTAGCCAGTCTCTACAGCCTTGTGATCACATACTGATTCTAACTTTATTAAGACCTAGGTTTACATGATGTATGTTTGTATGTCTGTTCTATCCTTTCAGACTACTGGACTCAAATCTAAACCAACTAACCATATTTAATAAACAACGTAGGAGTGTGTGAATAATAAAACATCTTAAGAAACTGTACACTACTAATAACCATACTTAAAGAAAGCAAACATCCACTACTTTTTACAACTGTCTTGCTATAACAACAACAAAATAACATTTGCCTTTCACATCAGGAGGTTATCCTAAGGTGCTGGACAATCAATGTTTTGGACCCGAGCTGGGGCTCGGGATCGGGGGGTTGCAGGGCAGGGGGGAAGAGGGGTGTTATGAGATGGGTCTTGAAGGAGGCAAGGGACGGGTGAAATCTCAAAAGTCCAATTAGATTTATAATAATCCTTGCATTTGATTTGAGATAGCGCAAATATTAGTAAACACTAATTGGATTTGCGTTGCATAACCCTCAAATCTCCCTGCTACCCAAACTCTTTCATAGCACCAGAAATCCAGTGTGAGTAACACAAAGTGGTCCTCAACCTCCAAATGTTACCACTATTGGATGACAACCTGGTGCAACAAGATAATATAGTGGCCAGTTCCCAGAATGATCTTGAAGAACACTGATGCTAGTTTCTCCCCATGGCACAGCTGACCTATGTTTTTGCTCAAAGTTCCCCCAAATTGTGACTTGAGAAGCCGCAAACTTCAGTACCCAGGGGGTAGTGGGAAGTGTGCTGCATTTCCGTATCCACAGGACACTGTCAAAGGCATCCATTCATTTAGAGTAACTCAAATGTCATCTAAATACCATGGGTGGGGGGGTTCAAGTCCTGGTATGAATAAAGGTGACCACTAGCTTTCACATGTCATCGATGAGAGAGCAATTGAGTTTTTGACAACCTTTAATCCTAATTTCAGATCTACCAGAGAACCAGTACATCCCAAACAAACACGGTTGAAAGTACTCCTTTACAAGGAAGTAATCTCACCAAAATGATTTAAAGCAGGGCTGTAAAAAGTGTGATTCCTGCAACACATGGTGTTGTATGCTGTATGAATAGATGACTTAATATTTGTACTGTGTGTAGGTGGATAAGTGCTAACATGAGTGGTAACCAGTGAGTGGCAAGCGGTTGCAGAGAGGGTGAAGATCTGGGCTGGCTGAGGGGGAAGTATGTCTACCACTGATAGAAGAGTCATCTCTACTCAGGTCCTTGATAAAGTATACAGGGCCGAGTGCCAAAAAAAACCCTGAAATTGTTTGGCTACAAGAAACAGGGCTCCAACTAAAGCATTTGTCCTAAGGGAGTTTATGAGCGATCCTTAACCTACGATACAAACATTACAACTTTAGATAGAGGCTATCGCATGGCTGTGAATGTCAACCCTTAGAGTGATAAGCATCTCATACCACTTTATACTGCTGAGAGATGAAAATACCTCAGCATTGCTCCGCTCATGACCTTTCTTTGTCTTCCGTGTTTATTCATTATGTAACTGGAGGTGTTCAATTACACAGAGACTCAACCAGGTTTGCAATAGTAATTTTCAGCTGAAGGACAAGAGAGATACAACCACTCCTGTTCAGGTAAAATTTTCCTTAGATTAATTTACATAAATACGCAGATACTTTTGTGAGCTCAAAGAGGGTGTGGTTGGTACCTAATACATAAAATCAGTAAAAGCTGAGAGGTGTTGCTCTTTGTGTTGATTTACACTCCTTGCTAGGTTGTGCAGAGTTGATTTGTTCTGGACGTTATTCAGTCGTGAGTGAGTAGATTTTTATTTATATATATATATATAGAAATGTGCCGTGCGTTATCTTTCTGAATCTGTAGAGGTTGCCAGGTTGGATCAGTTGGTATGACTCTCGCCTCCAAATCAGAAGGTTGTGGGTTCAAACTACACATTGGGACTTTGAGCTTGTGGTTTAAAGTTGACACTCCAGTGCAGTGCTGCATTATTGGAGGTTCTGTGCTTCAGTTGAGATATTAAACCAAGGTCCCGTCTTCCCGTTCAGAATGTACATTAAAGATCTCATTGGCACTATTTGAAAAAAGAAAAGGGAGTGCTGCCAAATAAATTCACCCCAAATCCACTTGGTTATTCACTTCATGGTTGTTTTGGGGCACATTCCGATGTGAGAATTGCCTGCTGCAGTCAAATACAGCCACTCGACTCTACATCAAATCCTGTGAAGCATTTTCAGACAATCTGCTATATAAGACATAAGGGTTATTTATCGTTATATTAGGAATGTAATGAAAGTATTGAATTAAAGCAATAAAAGTTCTCTAAAGTTTGTTTCTTTTGAATCTTCAACCTTCTGCTTCTGAAGGTGGCAACTCATGCAGTGTGGCTCGAAATTTCACTTAGTCTTAGCCTGTAAGACTATTTTGTTTTAAGAATTATTAGCAGGCAAAATTAAACTCAGCCTCAATTTGGAAGCTGAGTTCTTCATAAGAACTGTGGAAAATCAATTACCCAAGTTAAGATTGAGTTTAAGAATTTTCCCTTTGGTTCGGCCATGAGCCATGCTGTCAACATTGGCTCCCTGGTCTATTCTGAGTTAGCCAAGGTGGCCTTGGGTGCACTACAATTAGCTTCAGTCCCTTGGCTAAGGAAGGAACTATCAACTGAGGTTCCTACGCCTCATATTCAGCACCTCTTCATGAAAGTACTGATGGGAATTTGNTTTTTGCTTTGTTAACTTCATTGCACAAATGTGGAAAACGTTTACCAAATCATGCATTTTACAAATAAACTTAAGGTATAGAATTGTGTCATCAGAACAGTTTCTTCAAACCCTAACGCGGCGTTGTGACAGTGACACCTCTCCAGTTCTGGCCCAGACTCCACTGGCTCCTCATCCCCAAACGGACCGACTTCAAGATCCTCACACTCGTGTTCAAATCCCTTCACTCTCTGGTACCTCCCGACCTCTCCGACCTGCTCACTCCCCAATCTACCACCCGGCAGCTCCGCTCGACTGGCACCGGCCTCCTGCTTTACCTTCGCACCCTCCACCCCACCATTGTGCTTTCAGCCACTACGCCCCGAAACTCTGGAAAACTCTCTCTCAACCCCTCCGCCTTGCCCCCTCTCTTCCCTTTTTCAAGTCCCGCCTGACCGTGCTTACGGCCACCTCCTCTCCCCCACACCAACCTCCCCCCCCCGCCCCTCCCAGACTCTGCCACTGCTCTGAGACAATGCCCTGCATGGAGGGCGTAATATAAGTGCAAATTGTTGTTGTTGTTGCAAGGACTCAACATTTCTGTTGCGACGGGAGAACTTCAGCCATTGCGGAACACAGCACGTGTTTTGCATCGGCGGTTTATTTTCCATTATTGTTCCATTTTAAGAACTATGCTTCTGCTGTAATGTAAAATGCCTCCCTGAACCAGTTAATAAAATATGTGAGGTTGCTTGTCTGGCTGACCTCTCGTATTGGCCTGAGTCCTGATTTCCCTCTCCCCCTCTTCCCCCTCATATTAAACACGACTGGAATTCATTGTGCAGCTCCTCCATTGAAAAAAATAGTGGATTGGAAATAAACCTAGTCCACATTTTACAGCACGATGTTGGACTCGTATGACTACAGCAGTTGTGGACCTGGACTCATTCTGTACAGCCCCTTGAGTTGGCCAATGCTCTATGAACAGCTGGATTGGCCCAATCCTGAAGATTACGGAGGTACTATTTCTTTGTATTTTTATGGTGGTTACAAGTTTACCTATCATAGATGTAGTTTATCTGGGTTAAAAATGGCTTCTACGGGAGAAGTAGATGCTGGAGATTATATCAGATTCTCAACGACTGTAGTTTATGTTTTTCATTGAAGAGCTGAAGGGAAATGGGCTGGAAGCAACACTCAGGAAAAAGTTCTTGTTATGTCAGCTGGGTTTAGTTGGTAGCGCTCTCGGCTCTCAGTCAGAAGGTTGTGGGGTAAAACCACATGTAGGGACCTTGAACCCACAGTTTAGGCTGACAGCGTTGTTGGAGCACCACCATTAAAGTGAGGTGCTGGTCTGCTTATTCAGGTGGATACTAAATATCCCACGGCACCTCGTCTCTCTTATTTTTTCCCCTCTCTTAAAGGTGCTGAATCATCCTGGAGGCATCGACTGCTCTCCAATGACTCATAATCATTCCTTTATGGCTAACCCAGGCAGTGAGTGTAGGCAGTGAGTGCAGGCAGGCTATTTGAGCTACTTGACTGCGGATGCCATCACAGGTCTCATTGTTATCAATACAGACTTTCTTGCCAGTGCATTGAGGTGATGTAGGACATAAGAAAGGAGAAGTGTGGTTTTGGCAGGAGTGACAGTATATATCTAAAAGCATTATAAGCAATGCAAACATACAGCATTCCAAGCATTTTATTTAAAACGGATTAACTGTGAGTATGCTGTAAGATGAATAGCTATGGGAATGCTCTAAGCCAAGATAGTTTGCCTACAGAATACACAGCCACTTTATGGTATTCTCTTTTGAAGCATCCTCCCAACGTGAAAGATTCTGTAATCAAAAACAAGGATTCTTTATTTGTTAAGTTGTTGTGTTCAAAGATTAGTTAGATGTGGAAAACACTTGGGGATTTTGATAGAAGATGTTTGTTGTATGATCCTGACGTGCGTTGATATAAGATGAATTTTGTTTTCAGTTTCCAACCCATCCTGGACCTCGATTCTTCCTGAGGAATGGAGCAACAGACATGTTTGGGAGTGGCTGCAGTTCTGCTGTGATCAGCATAAACTGGATGCAAACTGCATCCCTTTTGCCCAGTTCAATGTCAACGGCAGACAGCTGTGCAGCATGACTCAATCTCAGTTCATCTCTGCAGCTGGAATTTATGGAGAAATCCTTTACAATTCCCTGCACCAATCGCAAAGCAAAGGTAATGGTTTTATTTGATGACTTTGGCGACTCCACCAGATGAAATGTTTGTTTGGGAGGGAAAAGAAAGGTATTAAATGGGAAGAAGCAAACTAGGCATTTCTGACAATCATAATGCAATAAAGGATTCACAGGGAAATGCTGATAGCTCAATGGGTAAATGCATAAGATCATACCCCGACTCGCCAACAAGCTCCCTCAGTCAGTGTCAGCCTAGGTTATCATTTCATATCGTCACGTGGAGCTTAAACCCACAACGTTTTGACCCAGGGACAACATGATCCCAGCCAGGCCAAACTCTCACAGATACTTGAATTGTTATAGACCTATGCCACTGAAACCTTCAGATCAGGAAGCTGTGGACTAATAGTATTGGTGTGTCAGACACCTCTGATCTCAGAACGGGATCCCTCTGGGCACATGAAATTCTGCAATAATGTTGAAAATGAGCTCATTTGTTTGTGGGTCACTGCATCCATAAAACATTTAGAGCCAACAGTCTTAATTAAGACCGTAGATTAAAATGGTTTCTTTGCTTCATTCAGCAGATCTCCCTCTGGTGTGCGACCCTGTTGACAAAGAACTTCATATCGATGAAAGTAAGTAAACAAGTCAAGCACTCGACTGAAATGTTTGCATTCTGGACATAAATCTCTTCCAAAAATACTTGGACAGAGAGGTTGGGGAGCCAGTGGAGATTAATGAGGAAGTGTGATTGGGTGGGGTGAATGACTGGAGGATAGTGGAGCCGAGGGAAGATAGGACGCGGCGGGTGGCCGGGACCATTGGAGTCAAGGGAGGATGGATTTAATAGGTTTGTGGAGCTTGGTGCAGGAGAGGACATGAATTGCACAATTCTGGATGGTCTGCAGCTTGAGTAAGAAGGGCTGGGGAGTCCGGTGAGCAGGAAGTTGGTTTAAAAGAGACAAAAATGATTATTATTTAAACTAACCCTAGTGAATGTTCAACTATACCTTTTTACTTAAATTTAAGGGACTTTAAATTTGGAACAAAACGCAGGATGTTTCGAAGGAAGCCAAGAGCAGAGCATTCCTGCAAAAAAACAAGCTGGTGAGTGAGCCTGTTCCTGTTGGAACACAGTGCAAACTGACATATTTACGCTGGCGCTGGAAGCTGTTTGAGCTCAGCTTAGTCATCCGAATCTTCATTTTGATATTGTAATCATCATGTTAATAGAGTGCCAGGGGATCTTTAACGTTGACCTGAACAGAGAGATAGGATGTTGGGTTAACGTATCAAATGAAGCACGGCACCTCCAACAACGCAGAGGCCTCCCCAACACTGAGGCAAACGTGCTGCCAACTAAACCAGGCTAACGCCTCAGTAACCCTGGGCTCCGGAAGGTAAAAAATCTGGAGGGATTATAAAGTATGATCAACTAATAGAGAGATTTCTGACAGATTAGATTTTAATCATCTGTTCATTTGAATAGCTTGATCTTTGGTAATGCCTCACCTTTGGTTGATTTGGTTGTGTCACGAAACCCTGCTCAACAAGTCAAAGTACCAGTCTACAAAGTTAGATAATGATTTCATGTGAAAAGAGTTTTCACATTTTTTTCATGACAGTGATTATTTGAGCTGAGGTAACCAGGCTGCCCAAGTGTCTGTGCACAAACTCATTAATCTGTGTGTTAGGCGTTGATCCTGTCGCTGAGGTTAGCTGTCACTACTGTAACCTGAACAATTGGTCCTTGTTGTGGAAAGCAAACCACATTCCCAGAAAAGCTCATTGTTCTAGCTGCAGTGCAAAAGATAAGCCAAACTAATCATGAAATGAAATGTTACACCTGAACACGAGAGAAGTACAGGATCCAATTTAACTCTTTTGAACACTGCAGCGGGCAAATACCCTAAAGCTCTGTTGGCATGTTTATACCCACAACTAAACACCAGGACAAGCCAGTGCCTACATAACCTTAAGAAGCTGCATGACTTCAACCAATAAACCGGGTAAATCAGCTTTGTATTGTATCTTAGAAAGTGTCAGTTCCTTGTATATATCTAATAAATAATAATAAATAAACTTTGAATTTGATATAGCGCTTTTCATGTTTCTAGGTATAACCTTAACCTTATAATTACTAATTAATTAATTAATTAATTAATTGGTTAGGTTAATTGTGTAACCTTAACCAACCTAGTTTTGTACCTCAGGGCTGTTCATGATTGAGAAACCTGGCCTGCTATTGTATTTCAGGAAGTGGAGCGTGGTTTACATGTGGTTTAGTTAATTGAGATAAAACAGTGAGCTGTCCTGCAGACTCGATGAGCAATAAACACATAAGAAATTATCCTTCCTCCCTTCCTCTTCCCGTTTGGTTCCCAATATCAATTTATTTATTATTTTTATTTCCCCATCGACCCCCTTTCAAGCAATTGATGAAGTTCAGTCTAAATAGAATTGTCGTCCAGAATTATCAGCCTTTTTAGAGGAATCTAATAAATGAAATAAATGACTTCCATTGCAGAGGTGATCTGACACATATTTGAATTGATTAATTGTCCTCAGCTCTTCGGGGGGCATTCGCCTAGAACACAATCAATTGGTTCCCCCATTTCAACTCTCCTCATTGACTCCTCTCTGCGTCTCTTCCATTATTTTCCCTCCTCGTCTCCTTGTGTCCAAAATGGTTTCTCTCTGGCTTATAGCACAGCTCCAACAAATTTACCATGTAAATAGCAGAATAAATAACCGCCTTCCATAAACTAAGTTAATAAGTAACCGGAGCCTCTCCTTTTTGACTTGTAGTTAATAAATACATAAAAATAGATCGTCTCATGAACTGGTAAACAAATAAATAATTTCTCTTTTTTGAAGCTAATAAATATGTAAAAAGTACTCTAACATTAGCAATATCAGTTACACAGCCACCGCGGATCACTGAGTTCGGTTATTCACTCTCTGCTGTCTTAAAGTTGCATTCAATGGCTATTTTTGTTAATTGCATTTATGAGCTCAATTCAGCCGGTGAAGCCACTGCCTAGTGTGAGCTGTTTCGTCCTGGAAAGTCCTAGGTTCAATCGTTAGTCTGCGTTGAGTTCTCTAGTTCCCTCTGATCTCAGCTGGAGCAGCAGTAGGTATGCAACAATAGACTGAACTCAGACATGGAAGAGGTGGCTGGGAACGAGAAAATCATTAAGTAATTAATACCATGGCATTCAACAACGACAACAACAACTTGCATTTATATAGCGTCCTTCACGTCGGACGGTATCTCGGAGGGCTTCATATAGTTTTTAAGTAGCTATACTGCAGTAGATTAAGACGTTGGTCCTTTAAATCCTTTCCTTAGTTTGTTCCTCCATGTGCTACACTTGACCTGGAATCGTTGATGTAGTACAATAGTTGATGTTGGCTCTGGATGCCTCTAATTGGAAAGTGCTCCAACATGTAACACATGCAAGTCATTCTGGTAACGCAAATGTTTCTGATCTCTGGTTTCGCCCTCAGGTTTACAAAGTCATCATCTCTGGGAGTTTATCCGAGATCTCCTCCTCTCACCAGAGGAAAACAATGACGTTTTGGAATGGGTAGACAGGAATGAAGGAATATTCAAAGTTTTAAAATCTGATTCTCTGGCAAAACTGTGGGGTCGTAGGAAAAAGAACGAGCGGATGACCTACGAGAAACTGAGCAGGGCCTTGAGGTAATCGTGCTTTGCTTCTCCAGCAAACAGCAGCACCTTTGGTCCAATTTTATATAGAAAAGAATAAATGCACATCCATTGCAGTGTGTAAGAAGAGGTTAGAGACATGAGAGAGTGATGGGTTGAACTTCTATCTCGGACTAAATACTATTCTATTATTGCAAAATTTCAGATTGTCTAGAATATGTCAATTTTTAAAAATTGAATTTAATACAATCTTTAATTTTGAAGCCGGATTTCTGTAAAGTTCTTTTCAGAAGCTACAATGGTAAAAACTAAATTCAAAATGTTTCCCAAATTCTGCAATCTCTAGAAATCTGAAATGCTATGTTAATAGAGGAAATCTAGACCCAGGTGGAAATTTACCCCTGAGGGATGTCTACATTTTTGGAGATCTGCTCATGTGCTTAATTTAATGTTACCACAATGATTCACCTTCATACACAAATCACAAAGCTCTGCTGAAATGTCTGACACCTGAGATCAAAGTGCCCAGAGGGATAGTCTGACTGAATATCTCCAGGTTCATGTGCCCATATGAAACTATGAAATTATATACGCCAAAATTATACCAGCCAAGTTTCGCACGCAAAGTATGCCGTCAATTCGCTTTACAGTATATCCTGTGAAGTGCTTTTGAGATGCCTCAATGATGAGATGCCTCAAGGATTATTATTATTGTTATTTTTATTATTAATTCACGTATGATTGGGACAGTGAATAAAGGGAGATGACTTATCGCAAGATCACAACACATAAACCAGATCCTTGTTGGATCAAGATGTAATTTCATTATATTTTGCTTTTCAGGCATTATTATAAAACTGGGATTCTGGACCGAGTAGACAAGAGGTTAGTGTACAAGTTTGGAAGGAATGCTTACGGCTGGAGATAGAAGGATCTCTGTCTGTAAATGCAACTATGTTTGAATGAAGTGAAGAGACATTTTAGTGTGTATTGGAACCATCTTCAGACCAGGCACTAATGGGCGGCAGTGGTCCAACCTACCTCAGCTACCATCATACTTCTACTTGAAATGTTGCATGGAGATGGAATTTAACTCTTTGTTTTCACTGTTATGAAGCTTTTCATGAAGAATATAGCATATGAAGAACCAAAGCATTCAAAAACCTGAGTATGAACAGAATATCACACATCCTATTTCAAGTTGTAAATACTATCTTAGATACTCAGAGGAGTCCATATATAACAGGTGTTAAAGCCTACTAACAAATGCCTGGATTTTTGTTACTTTGTTAGATAAATTTTGGTTATGATGATCACATTCTGTTCATAACTTTCAGATTTTACACTGCTTACCTTTACGGTGTCCACGTGAGCAGAGTTTACATCCCAGAATGGCTAGGTAGTTCTCTGTCACATGGGTATTGAATGTATATGCTAAAAGGAATGCATATGCTAAAATAGTAACATACTGTATATGAATGCTAGAAACTTTTTATAAATTACTTTTATTTTTAAGCACAATATAGATCGAGCAAAAATAAAAGCACTTTTTCTATCAAATATAGTCTTCATTTTCATTCGTAGTTTTGAGTAACCATCTGCATAAACTTGCATTGTACTTTTTAACATTAACTTGTAATAGCTATTCATCTGGAGCCCTGTACCTTAATGGTAAGAGCACTCACCTCGTAAGTGAGAGGACCTGGATTTGATTCCCAGGCAGGGTGAAACACTGGGTAAGTTTTCTTACTCCACTCCCCTCTGTTCACCTGTCAGTAGGTGTTAGTCGATTGGCGGATTGCTTGTCCGGGGGTAATAATCCTTTCAAAAAACAAAACATGTGGTCATTCAATCCACCATTGTTTGTGGGACGTTGCTGTATGCAAATTAGCTGCTGTGTTTGTCTACAAGATATTTGAGATGTCCTCCTAGCATGAAAGGCTCAACATCAAATGCAAGGATCTTTTTATTTATCATCCACATACCTAAATATTCTAACACTCATCACATCACGGTGATCAATATTGTGGGCAGCAGAGGGCCCAGCTTGTGAAACTCCACTAATCAGGGCTGTTACTGCAACCTTAGGCGTTTTTTAAAAAACAAGTGAAGAAACAAATAAACCACTTTTCCTGGTAACGACTTGCAGTTGATGATTAGTCACTGTGTAAAGATATACTTCCTGGCCTTTGTCTTGCACTTCACAACACTGAACCTGTGTCTTCTTATCTCGCTGTCCTTGTGATTCAGAGAATATTATTCTGCTTTGCTGTATCCCAATAAGCCCCATTCCGGGATGCCTCTTTGTGAGGAAAGAGAGCGCTAACTTATCCAGCTGTTCCCCCAAGTTGCATCCTTCTAACTTTAGAGATCAGACTTGTTTGCCTGCTCTGTAGTGTGTCTAGCTTCCTTACGATGTAGTGACCAGATTACAAAATACATCAGATGTGGCTTGATCGGGCACGGCAAGAGCAAGTTTTATCCCAAATAAAAAAAAGCTTTTAAATATTTTATTATTTCTGCAGAAATCTACACTCATCGGCTACTCAATAAAGTAGTGCTTTAGTAATTGTCCGCCTGTGCAGATGAAGAATTTAGTTGCAAATATAGTTCTGTGCAGTCCAGCTTGACCACGAGAGGGCAGCATCTTGTAAAAATGTAACCAGAGCAGGGAATGGATTGAGAGTTTCCAAGCGTTCAATAACAACAACTTCAACAACAACTTGCATTTATATAGCGCCCCTCACGTAGGGGAAGCATCCCATTCAGTTAGGACTGGCACATGAATCCTAAAATGTAAGAGCAGGGAAATGAGAAATCGTTTAAATTGAGAGGAAAAAAAATAAGATTAAATGAAAACTATAAAGGAAAGAATTAAATAGCGCATAAATAATAATAATAATAATCCTTGTATTTGATATAGCGCCGGATAGACATCTCAAAGCACTTCACAGAATACAATGTAAAGTGAATCGACTGTATATTTTGTGGGCGAAATTCTTCATTACAAATAATTCATCATAAATAATGAAGAAATAAAACGAAGTTGAACAAGAGGCAAAATTAACTCGATTGAACAAAACCAACTGAAAATGTTGAAGAATAGGGATTATGCTGTCCACCTGGCCAGGCTATGAGAGTATCACTCACAGTTTGTTCTGTGGTTAAGTACATGTGTGGCTGTTAGTTTTTACACGATAAAGAGGCAGGTCACCACATCAGCTGTCACTGCAGAGACTAGAAGAACCAAATGCAGTTCCTGTTATTTCAGACTTCGCTTCATGACCTGAAGCCAAGCAGATGAGCAGCTACTCTGAAAAACACACTCTGCAAGAAAGAGGTAACGTAGACGTCGTCGATTTTATTAACCTTTCTTCAACTCCTGAATGAAACTTTATGCAGCATTTATATTAGAAAACTTCCAACCAATATTCGTATATCTTATTAACTACGCGCCAATAAATGATGTGTACACATAGAAGACTGCACAAAAGGACCGATTGGATTTTTTTTCAGGTTTCTTTCATTTTGTAATAAAATTACTTGGTTTAAATGAACACAATCTGCTAAAGCGCTCAGCGATAAGAATGTTATGGTTTGTTTAAACTGGGTTAGAATCATTTTATAACAATCTTAGACTTATTTGCGAGAGTTTGCAGTTCCACTGTAAATGCTCTGGGACGATACCCTGCGTCAGGGACTCAAGTTATTGTTGTTGTAAACACCAAAGCCAGCAATAGTCTCTTGTGTGATGCATCATTTTTACTCTTACTAAGAAGAATGAGAAGAGAGAGAAGGGATGTGGACACGTGGAGTCCTGGAGCTCAGTGGTTAGAGCCCTCGCCTCACAAGCGAGAGACCTGGGTTCGATTCCCGGCAGGGCAAAACCTTGGGCAAGTTTCCTTACTCCACACGCCTGATAATAATCCCTCAAGAAAAAAAACAATAACGAAATTAGTCACTTCAATCCAAGACTGTTTGTGGGACACTGCTGTGCGCAATTGGCTGCCGTATTTCGCCCACAAATATACAGTCAATTCAGTTTACAGTATATTCTGTGAAGCGCTTTGAGAGGTCTAGAAGACATGAAAAGCGCTATATCAAATGCAAGAATTTTTTTCATTATTTTTATTATGTACAATGCAGAATTGGTTCCAATCGGGACCGATTTCATTAACGTTTACAGTTACAGGCAATTTTTGGAAGAGTCAAATTCCTGTTGCTTGCTCTTAATAGAACTTGCATGATTGAAACTGGAAGCAGATATATAAGTTTGTAATCCATACATTGTTGACTGCACAGATATTAATTCATTCTTTACATACGTTAGAATAATTATACGTGATACGAAAAAACTGTTGTGGTTTAATGCATGCTTTCTTAAGAATATGCCGAGGGGAAAAAAAATCAAGTACCCCATCTGAAAACACGATCAAAGTAGATTTGGTTTAAATCTTTACCTTTTTTTCCTATCTATTGCTGGCTATCTTGTATATCTCACTAAAGCGGTTTGGAAATGTCAGAGATTACTTCACATCAAACGTGTTGCATCGTGCCAAGTTCAAAAGTGGTAACTGGTTAATACCAATCACAGTACTACTCCTACGCTCGAGTGTAGGAGCGTAGGAGTAGTTCTGTGGATAAGCCCTCAGTATATCAGACATAAGATATGCTGTACTGGTGTTAGGAGCTAGATGGTGCAGCTGCATCAGCTAATGCTTTTCTCTTCCAAGCAGCTTGTTGAAATCCTTGCTGGTGTTAGTATGCAACATGACAGGCTCCTAAATGCCACAATGAGTCACAGGCAAAATTATCCTCAGACAGTCATCTCCATCTATATTCGACAGAAGTATATTCGCAGGGAAAAAAAAAGCCCTGCTTTGATGCATTGCAGTGTGAATCACAAAATTTGCTGCATTTGAGGGTTGGAGAATAGAATCCCCAAGGACTTCAGGAATAAATGAGAGTGCATTATAACGGGTAAAGCTTAAGTCTTGGATCATCGTTATACACTCGATGGCACTTCTCTAACCAGGGGAAGGATTTTACTATATTCTGCTGACTCCATTTGATATTCATTTTTCACTTTGTGGCTGTTTGCGGGACATCGCTGTGCACACATTAGCTGTGGCGTTTGCCTAAAGAATGTAGTCACCACGCTTTACCTGTAATTCCTGTGAAGCGCTTTGAGACATCTTGATGATGTGACAAGGCCCAATATGAAACGCAAGGGTCGTTATCAGTAGAAGAGCAATCTTAGACTCATTTCCATAAGGCTTGAGTTTTCATTTGCCCTGCAGCAGTTAACGACTGATTTTTGATTTCAGATTTCTAGACGATGAAAGATTAAAGTTTAGCTGTTGTAAACTGATGCGTGATAAGGCTGAGTGTTTTGCTGTCGAGAGTGAATTTTAATTTTAAACTGTACGTCTTTTTGTGTCTTTGTTAGGTGTCAGCATTTGAAACAAATGGAGATGCCATTGTGCAACATGCCTGAAAGGACGAGGTGCACAGAGACTGCGCCTTTCAGAAAAATCGAATGGGAAGACAAAATTTCAAAGGCAATACATAATGCCACGGAACCTTTAGTTACCATGGCTGCCCATAGCATGCAGTTTAAACTTTCTCCATCTCAAACCCAGACAATGGAGACCTTACCTTTGGAGACATTGCCTCTGGACAAGAAGACTTTGGAAGATAAGCCACAATACAACAGGTTTGTTCAGAAAAGCAAACCTTTGGAGTACACGCCAACGAAAACTCAGCTTCCTGAATCCAAGCAAGTGAAATCCAAATCTTTAGAAGAACACAAATTGCATTTGCAGAATCTCTGCCGCATTTGCGGAGGTTCCTTTAACACCAGCCGCTATGACATGAAGTATGCAGTCAGTGGCCCAGTCGATGACGTCACCCAAGATGTTCTTAGGAAAATGGGACATGGGGATTGCTTTTGGCCTGAGCTCGTCCATAACACCTTCAAAGTAGATGTCAGGAGAGATATGGAGACCGTTCACCCCACCCACTTCTGCCACAGCTGCTGGCGCATTGCAATTCAGATGATCAACAATACAAACAATGAAGATGCATTTTTTCCCATCAATAAATTTATGCACTGGAAGCCTCATTCCAACCACTGTAGAGTTTGCAACTCTTCAAAAGGAATTCGCAAGAGAAAGGGTCTGGGAAGAAGTCCGCAGGTCCCCAAAAAAGCAAAGGTTGCCATCGACCTTCCGATCAGACCAAAGGTTGTTAATAGAAGAGATCAGATGAACAGCACAAGCATTATGTTGGCTAAAAAAGTGGTCAACTGCAAGAAGCTCCATCTAAGTCCAAAGCTCCTTGTGGATGACTATCCCCACCACTTTCTCCAGTCGGTCTCATGTCAGGTTTGTGACCATCTACTTGCTGACCCTGTGCAATTACCATGCATGCATCTGGCCTGCAGAACATGCATTTTCAAATGCTTTGCAGTTCTCGGAAAGTATTGCCCAGTTTGCAGGTTTCCTTGTTGTTCGGCAGAGCTCACAAGCCCTGTCAAATCTTTCAGTCACGTTCTGAATTCCCTTGTGGTGAAATGCCCAATGGCAGACTGCAAAGATGAGATGAGACTAGATGAATATTCTCACCATGCCCAAACTCACAAAGAGACCAGAGGGAAATATGATTACTCACCAACAAACAAGGGTGGTCGGCCAAGGTTACACTTGTTGTCTTTAACACGAAGAGCTCAAAAGCATCGCCTGCGAGATCTCAAGCATCATGTTAAAGCTTTTGCAGAGAAAGAAGAGGGTGGAGACGTGAAGTCGGTTTGTCTCACTCTGTTTCTACTTGCGCTGAGAGCTGCAAACGAACACAGGCAGGCAGACGAGCTAGAGGCTATAATGCAGGGAAGAGGATCAGGGTTGCTACCTGCAGTCTGTCTTGCCATTAGAGTCAACACATTCTTGAGTTGCAGTCAATACCATAAAATGTACAGAACAGTCAAAGCAACAACTGGGAAGCAGATCTTCCAGCCATTGCATTCACTCCGAACTACAGAGAAAACTCTGTTGCCTGGTTATTTTCCATTTGAATGGCAACCTCCACTAGAAAATGTCTCTACTAACACTGAAGTAGGAATAATAGATGGTTTGAGTTGTTGGCCCCAGTGCATTGATGATTATCCGATGGACACAATTTCCCGACGGTTTAGGTACGATGTAGCACTTGCTGCAACTATCAAAGATCTTGAAGAAGACATCTTGCAAGGTCTGAAATCACACGGAATGGATGAGTTTCAGAGTGGGCCATTCACTGTTGTGGTAAAGGAGTGTTGCGATGGAATGGGGGACGTCAGCGAAAAGCACGGATGCGGTCCAATTGTCCCAGAAAAGGCAGTGAGGTATTCCTTCACAATAATGAGTGTGAGCGTCACGGGTGAAAACAATGAAAATGTCAAGGTATTTGAAGAATTGAAGCCAAATTCTGAATTGTGCTGCAAACCTCTTTGCCTCATGTTGGCAGATGAATCTGACCATGAAACCCTGACAGCAGTGCTGGGCCCACTCATCGCCGAAAGGAAAGCCATGAAGGCAAGTCATTTAATCCTTGAAATTGGCGATTTGCTCAGGTCTTTTCGATTCATCTTCCGAGGCACAGGGTATGATGAGAAGCTTGTGCGTGAAGTGGAAGGCCTTGAGGCCTCAGGCTCCATCTATGTTTGCACATTATGTGACTCCACTCGTAGTGAGGCCTCAGTGAATTTGACCTGCCATTCCATAACCAGGAGCCACACAGAAAACCATGAGCGCTATGAAATTTGGCGATCAAACCCATATCGCGAGTCCCCTGAAGTCCTCCGCGATAGAGTGAAAGGCATCTCAGCCAAGCCTTTTATTGAAACTCAGCCCTCCATTGATGCCTTGCATTGCGATATTGGAAACGCAACGGAATTCTTCAAGCTCTTCCAAGATGAGATTGGGGAGCTTCACATCAAGCCCAACCCGTCCAAAGAGGATAGGAAAAGGTGGCAAGTACTGCTCGATCAGCATTTGAGAAAGAAGATGAATCTGAAGCCTATCATGAGGATGAATGGAAACTTTGCCAGGAAACTGATGACCAAAGAGACCGTAGAAGTAGTATGTGAATTAATTCCGTCTGAGGAGAGGCGAGAAATTCTCAGAGAGCTAATGTCACTTTACGTCCTGATGAAACCAGTGTGGCGCACCACGTTTCCTATCAAGGAGTACCCAGACCTTGTGCACCAATACAGCTTTAATTCCCAAAAGTTTGCAGACCTGCTCGCTACAAAGTTCAAGCACAGATATGAAGGGAAGATCACAAATTACCTGCACAAAACTTTGGCCCACGTTCCTGAGATCATCGAACGAGATGGTTCCATAGGAGCTTGGGCGAGTGAAGGAAATGAATCGGGCAACAAGCTTTTCCGACGTTTTAGGAAAATGAATGCGAGGCAGTCTAAAAGTTATGAGCTGGAAGATATCCTGAAGCACCACTGGCTGTACACTTCCAAATATTTGCAGAGGTTCATGAATCAACACAATGAACTGAAACAATCAGTGTTTGCTTCCACACCATTTGACAGCAGCAGCCAAAATGATTCACCACCAGAGCCACATGACTCCATTGATTTTTAAGTTCGGTTGTTAGGCTGAAATTGGTTCTAACTATCTTTCTTTAAGCACAGTCGACTGTGAACAGTCTGTACTGTGTGCAGAAAAGTTGGGTGTATCATGGCCAAACCTTTTGAGTAGAGTTGGGGTTGGTGAAAAGGCCCCAACAGGGAAATTATGGTCTAAGTTGGATTGGCTCAGTTGATAAGTACTAACTGCAGTAAGAATAGAAAGGTGATCTAACCTTTCAATATTGTTTGTGGCCATATTCAGAGATGGTGAGAAAGTGAAGTGTGATTTAGATGTGAAGGAAGAAGTGATTTCTGTGACAGTTGAGGTGAAAGGCAGGGATACTTATAATAATCCTCATATTTAATATAGCGTCGTTCATGTCGGAAAGACGTCTCAAAGCGCTTCACAGGATCCATTGTAAAGTGCAGTGACTGTATATTTTAATAGGCTTTTTCTTGAATGCCTAATTTGAAATGATCAAATTGAACAACGGGACTTTGTTTATTGGGATTTTCAAATCAGTTGACTCACACCATTATTTTGATGTATTAATGCTTGCTCTGGGCGCTTATCCAACATTTGCTTTCAGTGGGTAATGGGAGAATACTTTAACCGTTTAGCCCTTTGCTATTTTGCGATGTGTAAAGGGAAGCGATGTAGGAGTGAATGCTTACTGCACTATTTTAAAGGAAACAAAACTGCAGTGGGTTTGAAAATGATTTGGAAGATTTGTCAGAAAGTTTGGACAATTTATCAATAAGGTATTTGAATCACGACACATAGCAAATGGGTACCGTCTCTGAGCACTTAAATGTTCAATTGATCTGAAGTGCATTGCTGGTACATAGGCATTTTATTTTAGCAGCATTTCTGTGTTATAGGTTGGTGGCTGATGCATTCAAACATGAGTTGTAGTGTTTCCTTTTTTATATCGATAATTATTACCTTGTGTCCACGTTATGCAATTTATAGCTGGCTATTTTGTAACTTTCGAAGTAACAGGAATATGCTGTTATTAATGATCAATTTTGTGTTGTCTACTGCAAAGCATAATATAAGAATGGATTTTGAACGGAGAGGCAATAAAAGTGATGAGAAGGTTTAAAGGCTTTGACTTACGGTGGGGTTCAAAAAATAAATAATCAAAAGGCAATGATGAGGCTCCTTGCATGTTTTCAATATCTGATTAACACTGGCACAATATACAATGAATTGTTAATTTACTGTACTCACTACCTATCTATTCATTGTCAAACTAGATACCTGTAAAACATAAATCACAATTTAGTGGTAACATGGATTGTTTTTCATACAGTGTCTAATTTGGTACTTGACTTTGCTTTGTATAAGACTAAGTATTGATATATTAAATTCCATGATGAATGCACATCGCCTCATTTATTATTGATTTGTTTATTAACCCTATATTGCCAAGTGGCCAATTTCACAATCTGCTGCAATGCATCCCAGTCCTGACTCTGTGTTCAACACTCGCGAGACATTGGCAGTAAGTAGTTAGCATCAAGATAAAGGAATTTTTGCAAAGCTTTGTGCATTCAAGCAACATTTGTGCAAAGTGACAGATAAATGGAAGGTTGTGTTACTTCATGTCAAAAAAAAGTTTTTAAATTGCTTTTTAACTTTTTAGGTGTTGAAGGTAATCCCAAAGTGTAGCACAGAATAACAGCAATATACAGAATTTAACCAGGCGAAGAATAGGTTGTTTCACCTTTCTAAATGATTCATGAAAATGTAGTTAGGAGTAAATTATAGCAGGATATTGTAACCATTTTCTAAATTCATTAAAGCTATTTTATTGTGCAAAAGATTGTGCAGTGCTACCTATACTGGCTTTGTTCATGCATCTTACGTTTTTTGCTGTAAAAACCTTTCTACACGGCTTCTAAACTTTGCATTCAGGCGATCACAATGAGATTTTTTGCTGTATATTGAGAAGTAATCAACCTGAAAGCATTCATTTGTATTCATAAGGAACAATCACCCTGATATTGTTCTGCAATTTTTATTACTTATGTGAGGGATTAAAAATGAAATTGAATCAGTTCCCCAAAATAGTTTATTTGCGATATTCTACAAGCTATTGCATTAGAAGATGACAACATTTGCATTTTGTTGCAATTTACTGTATTATGTTCTCAAAGCCTGCTTTTCTGGGAATTGTGTTTGCTATGCATGTGGTACAAAAAATGCAACTTACCTCTTCCAACATGACTAATAATAATAATCCTTGCATTTGATATAGTGCCTTATCACGTCGTTGAGACATCTCAAAGTGCTTCACACAATATAATGTAACGTTGATTGACTGCAAAACAGGTCAGGTTGTAATAATTGTTTGTGTTTAGGTCTAAAAATGAATTTCAATTGGAAAGTAGCCTATCTGATTAGAGCTTGCACCATAATGTTAATTGGTCTGTATTTTGCTAATTCTGCTTATCGCTTATGTATTTGGTCAACTTTTGATGTACTTTTTTTAAAAAAAATAAACATTTGAGACTTTTAAACATATTATTTTGTGCAATCTATGATTTACAACACTCTTTAAAAGATTAGCTTCAATTACTTAGGTTTACTATTTTTGATTCAGAATTCAGGACGCAGCAGCAACAACAACAAATTGCACTTGTAATGCACCCCTCACACAAGATAACATCTTGTGAGGAGCAAAACACTGTGATTTCATACTCAACTGGGCCCTTTAGTGAGAGAAGCACCCAGTGGAAGCTGACATTTTTCCACAGAGGGAAGGAAGACAAATCACTTTTACTTTCCTAGCAATTTGTTCGGAGTGAGGTTGGCAGTATTATACGTTGGGACCAGACCGATCAACCTGAGAATGATGTGGATGGAATTTAAAGGAGGGGATAAAATATCCTTAAAACTGAACAGGAAACATATTTGAAAAAGAAATGAGATTGCTAGCAAGCCTGGTCCCTCATTTGTGATTGAAATGAACATATAAGGAGGTATAATTATTTTTTTACCATTGGTCAGAAACAGTATGAAAGGCTTCTACCTTAAAGACATGAATGAAATAAGTTTGGTTCATCTGTAGTACCAACGACATTAGCCTGATACATCTCCATTAGATGCATAACCTGAGGCATGGTTGACAGCTTGTCATTATTGTGATGTATGCTTGTGGGTAAGCAATTGCTACATGCTGTTAGGACCACAAGTGAAATGAATTTGGAAATAGCTTATCTACGGGACTGTGTCCAACCCAAATCTCTGCGATTTAATATCCATAACATTAGGCTAAAGTCTGTTTCAAGGCTGTGTGGAGGAGGATTACCTTGGTTGCTGAGCAGAAGCATCCACAAGTGAAATGAGTTTCTGTCAATCCCTTGTTTTATCTCACAGCAGGAATGATTCCTTTACTTTAAGACACCCGAAATGCATTGCAGCTTCAGTGAACAGATGTTCGGAGCACATAACAATCTCAGTTTGAGCATTGCGATGGGATTGCTAAAAGGCATTCCCCTTTCATGGTGCAGCTATGAATTGATCAGTCCCTAAGCTGATTTTTCCATTAACTGCCAGAAATGTGATGACTTCCATTTTTCACAACTGAAACAGTCATTACAAGTTTCCAAAACTTTAAAGAAGTTCATAATTTATGGATTTTTCCCCATGACATTAAAGCACAGGAAAACAAGGAAGAGGCCAATTGACCCATCAAGCTCCCTTTGAATGGTGATTCTGTACACTTGATCTGTAATCTTATTCTAGCATTCCAGAAAAACAATTGAATTATTATTTTGCTTGGGCTAATAAAGAGGTGGAGTCGGTAAGGTGTGTAAAAACAATGCTTAAAACAACATTTGTGAATAGAAACCAGTTTAAAAGAATCCACCTTTGCAGGGTTGTATGGTCTCCACTGGGCAGCAGTATCAAATAGGTTGTGAAGCTTGAGGTAAGGTCTAAAATATTTTAGAAATTGGATCCCAATTTCTGCAGACCATTGTTTCCTTGTTTGTTATGTTATAAGATGCTTTTTGTTGTTTAAAATACTGGACTCAAAGGAGAACATTTATGATCGGAACTGACACTTTTATTTCTTCAAATACAGTATTTGCACAACACGCGTACAATAACAATGTCTTAACATACACAGCACCAAAAATAAAGACTTTCTTTCAAAAAGTCAGTAATGAATGATTTGATTTTTTGCACCAATACTAAATTCAAGGCAATAGCACCAACATAACGCTGACTGAATTTGCCAAATGGCTTTTAAAAGAAACGCTAAACAATTTAACCTTACAGTTACATGATTTTCATTGTTTTCCTTCTTAGAGAACATTTCAGATTTATTGCATTGAAATAGGTTGTGTTGCTCTTTGAATCCTGAGAATCTTATCCAATTCCTTATGCTAAAGAGCGACTTTACCAGAAATGATACACAGTTTACTTTGCTAAACAATGAAATGACACACAGTTAAAAGTTCTAGTTTAGATTAACATGTGGGTTGTCGCATATAAATTACCCAATTTTTTTACAGTAATCCGCAGGCTATTTGTCTAAAACCTACTACATGTACAATACATAGACTTTATGTTTAATTTTGAGCGCAGGTTAACATAATTTTTTTTTAATGCTGAAGAGGGCTTGAAAGGTGGCTGAGAATTCTTCCAGACTGCAGAATAATTCAATAATTCTAAACATCACTTTCAAACTTGCTCTACTGTTGATTTATTTTCAAGTGAACCAATCTCAATTTCATTCAAACAGCCTCTTCACAAAGCTCTTCTTCATCGGTGTCTTCTTCAGACTGGATGGCGACTTTTTACGCGGGGATTTCATTGGCGTCCGTTTCATTATTTTTATCTTCTTCTGCAGGGTTTCAACTCTTTTCTCAATACAATGAACATTGCAAAAGTACTTGGTCTTCTCCTGAGAAAGGTGTATCAGCTCTGACTCCGAGAGACCCATACACTGGGCATGTACCCAGTGCCCACCACCTCCTCCACTGGAGCAGAAGATCATAGCCGGTTTATTGAGTTCAGTGGAGTAGTAAGGAACCCAAGTGTTGACGTTTACACTACAGGTGACAATGCACTTAATCCAGTAACCTTCCTCATCACCATTATCTAAGTATATTTCGTCGTCGCTATAATCATGGGTTTCAACGACAAAGCGAAATTCTTCTGAATCTTCGAATGCGCTAGATTCCTCTGGATCAGTAAAGGATTCCTGGCTGACAAGAATGCGGCTTCTCCCCTCTGGCTGTCCGAAAGTTGCAATGTAGAAGTAATTTGCTTCAGCCGTATCTGGCTTGTTTTCCCCAGGAATGCCCATTAATACCGCTCGGTTTCCCATGTCACTTCCAAACCAGCTCTTGCTGGCTCTGAGGTCACTGGTCCATGCCGGGGGTTCCTTGTCCAGGATCTGAATGTTATCATTTTCAAGTAGGATGGTGTTGCAAGCCATTCGCTTCTGAGTCTCTGATTCATAGCCACCGACAATTATAAACTCATTGCTGCCAGCCTGGGTCACTATTGCACTTGATACTGAGATGCCATTATTGAGTACTGTGCAGGTTATACTCGGATGTGGGCCTAACAGATCAACCTGTAGGCTAAGCAATCGTGGAGGACGGTGATTGGATCCCATGGAATGACCCCCAAATACGTAGATGGTTTCATTTTTTGCTACTGACGCGTGGAATGAAAATCCATCATTGATCTCTGGAAGCACATGGGCTGTGCAGTGGCTGGTGCTCAAGTCTATTATGTATACATGTGGCGTACAATCCAATACGCTGTTCCAGTTTTCTGTGGTTCTTTGTCCAGGTGGCCGGTAATATCTACCTCCGACCAAGATACACATGGTTCGTCCTCTGCTCTGAACCACATTAATGGTGTGACCATATCTTCCTTGGGGGACATTTCCTTTGAGATCTTTTTCAATGCAACAGAGTGATGTCTTCTTACTACCGGTATTACTAACCATCATGAGGTACAGTAGATCAGACAACTCATTGTTTGGCATTCTGCCGCCATGAATGAGGTAAAGAGGGCTTTTGGATTCCGAGGGATCTGAGTAATGAGTAATTGCAGGACAACGTAGCGGTGGCAGGTAACAAGAGTCACTGGAAAATGAAACTGCTTTGAGTTTCAGGTCTTGTTCTTTCAAGCGGAGGAGGAAGACTCCAGAGGAGCAGGATCTTTTTGGCCATCCTTTCTGGCCAAAAAGAAACACTTCGCCATTGAAATTCATCAGGGAGAACCCGGGATGTATCAGTGCCCCATTGGCGCTGGGTGAAACCATTTGCAGAGTCATGGTCGCACCGGGCGGGCGGGCGGGGGGGGTGACTGTGTCGCCTTTGGATGCAAAAGACATGATTAAAAAATTGGGGTAAAAACAGACAAGAACGTGTTGGCAGGTTTAATTGCTCTGTGAAAAAAAAATGAATGGCACCCGCCCAAAGCCAAGGGCAATGAGAGAGAAAAAACACAAAAAACCGCCCGATTGGGCGCGAAACCCGCCCCATTGGGCGCGAAACCCGCCCAAATCTGGGACAGCAGATTGTTCCTTGAGCGGGTGGCGATGGCCGGCGCCGGACCCCACCGCTTGGCCTGATGGGAATTGTAGTCGATGGTGGGGGGGGGGGGGGTGTGTGGGGGAGGGAGAGGAGGGGAGAGGGGCCGGCGAGCCACTACATGTCCCGGCGAGCACCGCGCCGGCCGGTTGCTAGGAGCCGGGAGCTGCGGGCAGGAGGAGGAGGAGGAGGAGGGAAGAAGGAGGAGCAATGGAGGAGAGACGTGAGGGCCCGAAGCCACGACCGAAAAAAAGGTACCAAGAACCCCCCCCCCCGCCACGCACACACGCAAAAAAATAAAAATAAAAACAAGCCCCTAAAGACAAGTTCTATTAAAAGTGAGTGACGACTCTAAGTAAATAAATAAATAAATAAATAATAAAAAAAAATGGTGGCAAGAAAGCAGCTCCGTTGGGGCCCTCGATCAGCAACGTCTGGGCCTACATCATCCATCCATCCATCTCCACACACACACCCACCACACACACACACACACACACAGTCAATTCACTTTATATCGTCACTGTGTTCGGCTTCCAGACGCCGCTCAACCACCTGATGTTGATAAGGCGCTAAATAATAACAATAATAATAATAATAATAATCATCCATCCTCCTCCTCCTCCTCCTCCTCCTGGCATTTGATACAGCTCCTCCTCATCGCGTCTCCGAGACGTCTCACGCGCGGCTTTGGCGCTCCCAAGCGAATCGACCTGCGTGTGCCTTGCGGGCGGAATCGAAATTTTTTGCGAAGCGCCACGGCCGAGGCCGCGCCGCGGCGTCCCCGCAAACAGCCGCGGACTGAAGTGACCCGATTTCTTTTTGCTCTCTCTCTCTCTCTCTCTCTTGAGGGATTATTATCGGGCGTGTGGGCTAAGGAAACTTGGCCAAGGTTTCGACCCCCACCCCCCCACCCCCCGCCGGGAATCGAACCCGGGTCTCTCACTTGCAAAGCGAGTGCTCTAACCACTGAGCAACAGGACTCCACAAATGCGAGGATTATTATTATTATTATTATTATTATTATTATTATTATTATTATTATCTTTGTGACCACAGGAGACAAACAGGAGCAAAGCAAAGGCATGGGATATGAGTTTTTTTCAAAAAAAGAGTTAAAAGCCACCCATACCATTCTGCTGATAAGAATAACAATGTTTACACAAACAACATCCCCGGGGGTATGTTTTTAATGGATAAGGTTTGAAGGCACTGTATAGGTCAGCAGATCCTGAACTAACTAGTGACCAAACATGGGGGATGGTGGGGTGGGGGGAGAGGTAAGTGGGGTCTCCTTGGAACTCTGCTGGCTCCAAGATGACAATGATTGCAAAGGAATATCGAAATCAAGTCAACCCTTTTCGATGGCCCAGCTCCGGAGCCAGGCAGGTCCCCGGTACTCTAGGTTTCCGCTGATTATAGACCAGACATGATGCCAGCAATGACTTTGGATGAGGAAGTAAGATTGGCTAGGACACTGGATGAAATTCTCTATTTCTTTGAAATAGTACTAAGGGACTTTTCAATTCCATCTGAAGGACCAGAATAAGTAGATCAGGACCCTTATTAGAAGGACGGCACGTTTAATAGTATTCTTCTTTATCAGACCTGCACTGAAGTATCAGACTGGATTGCTAGCTCCTCTGACCCAATGGAAGACTGACACAAGGCATCTGGCTTGACTTATCTGGAGTGCAGCATTGACTATTATTTTCGGCAGGTTCAGGTAATTGATGCCATTATGTATATCTAATACATCAATTACAATAAGTTTATCAAATGACATTGTAACGTTAATTTTGAAATATTATTTTAAAACATACTAGTTGGTCTTTTAATTTTACCTAATTTATATTGTTTTTCATCACAGCTATTATTGGAAGATAAACCACGTTTGCTAAATTATTTCAAAGAACCTGTTTTAATCAATGAATCATTGCATAACATTTAATATTTTGTAGCTTGCAGTGAATGTTTGAACATTGTGATCTTCTCAATTCCATTAGTGCTGCTCTGTTGTTCCATAACTGTGAGCATGCAGGTTTGTCCTGTATTACTAATTTAAAAGTCTTTTGTCTGCCTTTGATTTCTGCCATTATGCATCACCTCCTCATGAACAGTGTATTTCATTTCTCATTTGATTTTTCATCAGCCTGTGTGCTACCCATAGATGAAGACCACATGAAGCTTTGAAAGTGGTTTCACCTTTACAAGAGAACACAGGTATTAAATTAACTACTCTTTGGGCCTGCCTGCTGCGTTTTAGTGGCAAACCTAAAGTAAGGTTCATTCAAGCGGGGGATCATAGAGGTACATATTGCACCAAGTAATGGTGTTAACCACTGAGCCACCTGCTCTGCTGAGTAATCAATTTTTCAGGTCTTGTTTACTTCGACAATCATCCCTTTAAAGAATCTAGCTGGCTTTAAACAACCACAGCGCTATAGCACCTGGTCTGATCCTTTATTCAGTAAAGCTGATGATAATGTTAGCTCTTCATTTCTTGTATACTTGTTTTCTGCAGCTTTTGTTCAATCTGAAATTTAAACTCTTGAATTTTGTATTAAATGTCCTGACTGACATTATTATTGTTCCCTTAAAAGCCAGCAAAGAACCATGGTATGCTTAATACTTGTAGATGGTTGACTGGGAACGGCTAAACTGCTACTTGTATGAGTTAAGAAAGAAAGTTTGTATTAGGACTCGGGGATCAATATCTAACTCTTTATTGTGAAATGGATATTCTATATCCTGGGCATATACTATTATGTGAGCTTGTGGTGTCCTTGGAGTCTAATATGTATGGAATAGTTGTGGGAGAGAGAACCGCCTAATCTGTGATTCGTCTTACTATAATGTAGCTTTCGGAAATGGATTTTTATAGATTTGTAACAGAGGATCAAATTAGAGAAAAAGTAATTCCTGATTTGTGGATAAATTGTGGTGTTTTGCTTTGCCACTGCTGATAGTCTATGTTAAATGTATTTCAAGCACTCTTCTCCCTTTCCACTGTAAATGTTCTACCACTGCCAATGGACTCATCAGTGAAGTTTGTACATTTTGAATTAATCCATTTCTAATGCAGGGTTTCTCATACTTACAACTTTTGGACACACAGCACTATTTGTTTTTAGTCAAAACTGATCAGAGATTGTAGTTGTTGAGTGGTTGACATCTAAAGTTGCACACAAAAAAGACATAGTCATTCTCCCCCATTTATGTCATGCAGACTTACAGTTGTGCTTTTTGGATTGTAACAATATGTAACTTTATAGTAAATACTATATTATCCTGGCTACTGAAGGAAAAATAACTAGAATCTTAGTCCATAAAGTACTGTATCTTCAATTGAATAGTTGTTTTCCCTATCTTTTTTCAAATTGTCCCCACAAATATCTGTAACTTAATAGCAACCACACTTGCAATGACTCAATGATTACATGTATAGATGAGGTTTGTTCACAGAAACGTTTTTCCTGGATAAGAAGTCAGTTATACAGCTACGCCTCAATTACATTAATTATAATGTAATTATAATTAATTGCTTTTGATAAGTCCACTACAATAATCTTAGTTCAATAGAGTTGTAGTAGATTTTATGCTGTAAATTTTTTTTTAAGCATAGGTTAACTAACAGGTAAATACAAATAGACATAACATTATAGCAGGTCATCCTTACCTCTAGTATGAAGATAATGTTGATATCTAATGGATCTCTTTAGGCAATGTTATCTGCGCCCTTTAAAAGGCTGATCTTGCTTGTAAGAATTAGAAGGCAAAACATTAGATTAACGTGCAGTTTACAGGCAATTTAGATGATCGTGAAAGTTTGCAGCTGGTGTAGACAGTACCGAGCACTTCCCAGATGAGGATAACTGTCAGTCTGCGCAGAACAAATGCAGCAGAGATGTGGTATGTTGTAAAGGTGCAAGATAACAAGGACACACATGCTTACATCACTTTGTTTGTAATACCTTCCATATACAACGTGTGTTAATATCTGCACCCTCCAACAGGGTATAGAACTCACTGGACTGCCCGAATTTTATTTGATTTTGTTTGTCCATTGTTAACTTAATTTTACATCTGATTTAAAAGTAATTTAAGCCATTAAAAGTAAGACTCAAAACGTTTCCCTGAATCTCATGTGGTTCCAAATTGTATGGAATATAATGGGAGATAAAGATGTCGTGCCGTGACCTGGTGGCAATGATTGTATGTTTTTTTACAGTGCAGACTTTATTCAGTCTCTAGTCACTACATCATACGTTCAATTGATTCATCAATATAGTCTTAACCTGAGTACCAGTGTATTTTCAGTTACATTCTAGTATCTTTGCTAAGGGTATTGATGGAAAAGACTTTAGACATCACTTGGGGATTCAGATGGTAATATCATTTTGCCTTAGTTCACCGAATAGAATCACCACTAACCCTATGCTTGCTTTGTTGATTCATTTAATAATCAGTTCTGTTAATCTATCTTCCTGGAAGAGGACTGGAATTTAATGCTGAAGAATTTCACATTAGCTTGTTTCAGTTTTGTCTGTTATTCGTTCAAGAGATTGAAGTCACTGCAGCAAATAATAATAGTAATAATTCTTGCATTTGATATAGATCCTTACCGTGTCTTCTAGACATCTCAAAGTGCTTCACAGATTAGACAGTAAAGTGAATTGACTTTACTGATTGGGAAAACTAGCGTCCAGCTCTGTGCCACCCTGCAGTATTCAGGCCACTTCCCCAATTGCATGGATGTGTGAGTGTTCACCATTGTTTACCAGGTCTGTATGTTGCTGCCTGTGCAGTGGTTTGGAATCATAACAACCCTCCCCAAGAACAGCAGCTGTGCTGAGCTAGTGAGCTGCTGCTGCAGCTGAAGAAATTAATACTTGTAGAACAGTTGCAAACTCCAATTTTGTCAGAGAGAACCATTCTACTTGACACATTTACTGTTTTTAGCACTTTCCCATATGAACTCCCAATAGGAAGCCCTGAAACACAGTAATAAAGAGGTGCAAACCTTGGGATGTTTTCCTGACTTGAAAGACGATATATAAATGCAGTTTGTTTTTGTAATCGTAAGGCAGCAAAAGTATCAGTATGGCATTTTTTCTTTTTTTTTAGGCATTGTCTATTTGCTTCAAGATGGACTTTCTCCCATCTCCTGCAATGCTGGAGATAAAAAGCTAAAGAGTACCTCTTGCTTTTTCTGGCTTTGACTCCTCCTCACCGGCAGTCTCAGTACAGCAGAGACGATTCTATTTGAATCAATCTGCAGTCCCCTGGAATATAAATATGGAGTTAACCAGTGTTCAATGCAAAATGTTTAAACGGAGCATTTAGGTTTGGTATACAGAAGATAAAACTCAATGATGTCATAAAACATTAAAACAAACTCATCAATATCCTCTATATTGATCTCCTCCCCTCTAGTTTCTATTTGCAGCAGAGTTTATATCAGCAAGCGAATACACTTTGAATGCTCCCAGTCTCTCTGATAATTCTCAATAGTATGGCGGATGTTTTACATAATTGTATTTATTGCAAGGCTGCCTTTGGTGCCAGCTTTTTATAATTCCAGATGAATTGAGCTTTTAACTCACGCTTGCATTGATGTGGTTTTTCCATCACCTGTTATATGGATCTTCCTGGATAGGAGTGAAGATCCAAAGGCTAGAAAACGTAAGTTTCAAAGGAAACTTACTGCTAGAACTGTGACTGCTGGAGAATTCCTGAGAGCAGATAGCCCCTGAGAATGAATTGTGATTGTGTCCCTCCACAAAACATTAATGCTGATTCAGGAGAGAGACCGCATCTCTGGATCTGCATGACAACTGCTGTGAAACAAAATCATGTCCTCTTACCTGAGGAAATATCTGAGGCCATGAAATTTCACCTAATCACGGCATGTAACACCAACTTATCTTACAAATTTAAAGCATGCAGAATTGTGGTTTTAGTCTTAATTTGGAATCCAGTTCTTTTTAAAAAAAATCTAAATGGTTTAGGATTTTCCACAATTCTGTGTGTTCTTCCATTTGATGACAAAATGGTCTTAGCAGGCTATGACAAGATGTAGTTTTAGGGCTTGTTACTCTCTAAAAGAATTATCAATCTATTATACAGTTGCACCAAATCAAGACCTTGGAATATTTTGGGGGAATACGTGAGTCTTAAATAACTCACTCAACATTCTTTACTGATATCACTGTAACGTGTACATTATATATTAATAATAATCCTTGCATTTGATGTAACGCCATATCACATCTTCGAGACGTCTCAACGTGTTTCACAGAATATACTGGTCGTGGATTGAGTGACCAAATTAAATCACGAGCTCAGTGAGTGGTGCTGGAGCACGTCTTCTAGCCTCATCTGTTGATATGGAAATTTGACTAAGTTTTTACAGACCCTCAATTCTTGTGTCTCTGATTATCCTAATATCCATCTTGTTAAAGTTTGAAACAGCTGTAGAATGTCCGAAGGAGCAAAACTGGGCTGTGAGGTGACCTGCAGGGAAATTCTATAGATCATAGAGAGAAGAAAATATTGCTTCAAATCTCTGTAATTTTATAAAAAAAATTATGGGTAAGTGAAACAGGTAAGAAATTATTGACTGATTGGTTTCATGAGATTGGTTTCCATAGTTTAGGCCTTATTTAATAGAGGGAATGGCACTGTCAATCAATTGGTGAAATCAGTTGTGATTGGTAGAAGTACTATACAGTCTTTGCCCATTTCAAGACCTGTCTTTTTCCGATCTCGCTTTCGGTCAACTTCCCACCGCCCCCACCCCCAACACCCAGCGGGTGGTTGCTTATTCAGCTGTGTGACGTCCTCCCACTGTGACAGGCGCAATGTAAATAAAAGTTGTTGTACTGAGAGACAATTGCAGGAGTCTAGCTTGTAGAACCGTTGCGGTTAATTTTTAGAGTGGCTTTGGTTTTCAAGGAGATACTGTATTATACAATATATACTGCCGTTAACAGAATATAATTTTGCACAATTCCAGCAGAACCTTTGAACAATGTGACATTTCACGTCACCTGGCACTGAGTTTTCCCACAAATACATAGTATTGACAGCAATTATCGGTGAAGCACTTTGAGATGTTTGGACATTATAGTCATTCTATCAAATGCAAGAATTCTTATGTTATAGAACAAGCTGAAGTGTTCATTAGAGATATACACATACTCCAATCCAATAGGTTATTTCAAGCATAGAAAATATTTATTTACAGGCTAGGCATTCTGGCGTTTCTCCCTTAGATAATTCTGTTTGGACTGCAGAAAAAATAGTTGTTCCTTGAAATATAATCACTTACCTTATTTTTTCACTTCAGGATGTATCACAGTAATCTAAGATAGGCCGTGGTTGTTAAAAGCTTGTTATTGTCCCTTTAAGTCATCCAGGTGAGTTTACCCCAATGCCTGGAAGTTGAAGAGGTGCGTGCAGTCCTGCCCTCTTCGAGCCGTTTTTTGATCGGTCTGGCTTCAAACAACGTAAATTCCCAACTCCATGCTGCTGTAGTAAACGCAAACAAACTTGGCACAGTACAACTGTGGTGCTGTGATTTATTAGAAATTGCCTTAACATAGTAAAAAAGTTGCATTCTTGCATTGCATTATTGTTAAGACTTAATCACTGTGAACAGTAACTTTAAGGTGCAGGTTCTCATGATGGTTTCTATTGAGTCTGAGCAAGTTATACACTGTCTTTCCCTGGCTGTTTCATATTCTTTATGTTGCATTTTGACATACTTTACAATTTGTTTGTGGTTGTTACTGTTTGAAGAGCTATTCCAAGAAAGGGAGCTTTGACAGATGTTAAAAAAGCTTACGTTTAGACCACATATAGAAAAGAAGCTTCCGTTAACTGCTTTATTGATCCCCATTATGCCTAAACTTTAATCTTTTACTTTATGATTTTTTAAAAACTAAATTGGTATTAATCAACTTTCATTTGCACCTTAGTCCGTATTGTTGAAAATACTGTAGGGCTCCCAAACATTACCTGTTTTTAGCACTCTTAAGATACTACCTATGTGAAGGGCGCTATATTGTTGATGTTGCTATTCTGCAGGCTACAGTTTTTTTAATATTACTATTTGATGTATAAATACAGCAAGAAAGTTGCCTGAATTCATGACAACTGAAGTTTTTTGCATCTGATTACGGTGATGCAAGAAGGAGAAAGATATGTTCCTCATAGGGAGGAGCGTGTTGGAGTAGGTATCCTGCACCGTTTTAGGAAGTCATTGAATTGCTCCCTCTCCCACTGCAGTTTAGTATTTTCCCCTTGCACTATTCCAGCAATACTCTGGCATTGTGCTGAAGTGCCATTTCTATTAACCACACATGCTCCACCCTGAAGAATATCAACAATTTGGGATCAGGAAGATGTATTTCAGTCGTTCTGCTAGCTCTCTTGTACTCTTCCCTTATTCTTCAGTCAATTTTTTTTTACACTCCCATCGTTTTGCTTATAGTTTTACCAGTTTTATTACTTTTACAACTGCTATCATAATCGGTACCTAAATTTGTGCTTATCTACATTATTTTTTCCACTTGTCTGCGAAAGCTGCTGTGTTACTTTTCTGCCGGAATAGTGCAAGAGGAAAATACAACAACAATTTGCATTTACTTAGAGCCCTTCACGCAGGGCAGCGTCTTGGAGCGCTTAACAGTGGCGGAGTCTGCCGCCAAGCCTGGCGGAGTGAGAAGGTGACTGTAAGCATGGTTTGAAGAGGATGGTCTCACTTACTTGGTAACAAGATCTGTTAACATTCTTGGTAACAAGATGGTCTCTTCAGCATGCTTGCCAGTTGTCATGCCACTCAGTCAGGGATCAGAAACTACAACGATGTATTTGAGATAAGCACATAGATTGATCATGCCATTGATCGATGGGTATAATGAAGCTGCTTTTCAGATGCATTTAAAAAATAGGTGTTATTCACAATTCTATTAATCCTAACTCCCTCAGTGAGTGGTAGAATTCAAATCAATAGATAAAAGAATGTTTCCTGCTAGAAAACCACTGTGTTTTGCATAAACCACTCAAGCTGCCTTGTGTAAACATTTTGTGCTGGTTCATGTGAGATTCTCTAGAGAATAGATTTGCAGAAGTTAGCCCTTTAATACCAATGGTAACCATATGTTATGATTTAAAATGCCAGACAACCACTTTGCAATGTAACATCCTGGTTTCGGTTGTTAAAAAGCATTTGCAATTTCAGAAACCCACTGAGTTGTAAAATTTGCGCGGATAGTGTAATTTTTACTTTTCATTTATATTAAATGTTTGCTTTGGGGCTTTGTAAGTGTTGAGTGTAACATACTATTTAAAGTTCCACCTTCATCTCTTGAGTAATTGCTAATTATATTAGTAGAAATGCCATTCCTAAATTGTAGATTTAAAAAACATATCCTGCAGGTACAGCACTATTTTAGCCTATTTCCTATTCACACAAGCCGTGTTTGTATTAGTCATCAGCACTCTGCAATATTTATCCTTGAATTGCCATTTTTACAATATTTGTATGGCCTCATTTATGTTATGTTTATTTTTGCCGTCTGTTTTTGACTAAACACCACAGAGATTTTATAAATGTAAGATTGTAAATTCGATGTTCCTAAAAGGCCCTGAGGGCCCCTCCTTAAATAATTTCAATGTTCTCTCTGAGTATGCAGGAATCATAGGTCTATTGAGTGTGTGACGACACATAGGTCGATATGAATGTAATGAAGTCTTTTGGGATTCTTCAAAATGTCAGATTGTTTGATATGACAGGTAATATAAATCCGATGTGCCCCCTCACATCATTCTGAGCCTCAGATGAAAATTACATTATAGAGCAGGTGTTAGAAAACAATAGCTTTTCAGAAGTATATTTTCTCTGCCTTGATACAGCTTAATGAAATTAATGTATGTTACTTTTCCACATAATTACTGCTGTACTTCCCCCCCCTCCCTTCTGATAGAGCAAAATCTGCTGTTGTCTGCTGTCCCGTTGGAATCGGAAAGAATGGAGCAGGAAATAATTCAAGATACTTTGGATAGATTTTGCAGTAGCCACGAGCAAACGTATGATGAATTTCTGGAATCCTTTCTTTACTTGAATGAAGGTATGTGTATCTGTGAGAATATAATACTGTGTTTAAATAATGATTACGGTTATTGCGAACACTGGTCACTTGATTTTGGCACTCCATTGCATTCTTGGAAGAACATTGCCATCCTTTAGATGAAAACAAGGTCCTATCTGCTTCAGAGTTTCTCCTGATGTCCTTGACAACAATCCTCCCGATAACTTGGTCATTCACCTCCTGACTGTTTGTGTCACATCAATGTATCCATGTTGCCTGTGTGTTTTCCTACCAATTATATTCGTTATAATTTACGGTAATTACCATAAAGTGCTTTCAGACGTTTCAACGTTCCAGGTGTTGTATCAAATGCAAGGTTTTGATATTGATTTTACCAATATGGACTAGTAAATTTATTGCAATATTATAGTTAATGACCTAGTTAGAGGGCAGTTTGAGCAGTTGCTGGCTCAAACTGCCCTATGACCAGCTTATTAGCTCCAAAAACTGGCTGTCAAATGGCTTTTTCATGATGAAATTGGCTTCCATTTACAGGAAACCTGAAGCGACAGAAGGCAGTACCTCCAGAAATTGGTGGTGAAGCAGAGGATGATGATGACAGTCCACCCCAGAGAAAAGAGTCAGTAGATTCTGTACTAAATATACAGAAGCTAAATATATGCAAGCATGTTGAAGAGGCAGGTATTCAGTCTTGGCCAGATATGAGCAATAACTTGCTGATTTAGAGATTAAATTACTTTAAATTATTAGGTAAGATGTAGCTTTTCTAAGACCGTATGTTGTTTTATTTTTCTAATTTTATAGATTTGTTTCTAGCTGTCCAAGACAGTGATTTTAGTACAATATCTTGATTTATTTTTAAGGAAGCAATAGAATAAATGCTACTTTTCAAAGAAGAATTAAAAAAGTTTTCAAAGTCCTTCTATTGTGTGCTATAGTGGACTCTACTATGAAGCTTCTCTGCAAAACAGAATTTCTTCCACTTTTAATTTTTTTTTGCTTTGCAGTTCATTATTGATGAAGGATTGAAGGTTGGTAGCTTTCAAGAAGGGGACTTGTCACTCGCTGGAAGGATTAAGGTAAGCAAGACACGTTTCAATCTCTTTCTGCGTTTTTCCTTTTTTAAAAAAAATTAATATGTCTGCAATTATTTTTCTAATTTTCTTCCCATTGGCATGTGGGGAACCCCTGTATGGAATTTCATAGGCCCTGGTTGACCTCCAGTATACTGTCCACGTGGCTGTTATTCATGGTTACATCATCCACAGACATCGGATCAACTTCCACATGTATGCGGATGATACCCAACTCTACCTCTCTGCCTCCACTCTTGACTGTCAGACATCAAGTCTTGGATCAGAGCTAATTTTCTTCAGTTGAACGTCAACAAGACTGAGGTTCTCCTGATTGGCTCCCACCAGTGCCTCCACACCTCAGGCGCTGACAGCATCACCATCCATGGATGCACACTCCACCTTACTAAGCCAGTCGAGAACCTTGGGGCTACCACATAGAAACAGGAGTAGGCCATTCAGCCCCTGTACTGATCTGTACCTCAAGTCCAATTTCCTTACTCCACACGCCTAATAATAATCCCTCAAGAAAAAACAATAATAATAATTGGTCACTTCAATCCATGACTGTTTGCAGGATATTGCTGTGTGCAATTGACTGCCGCGTTTTGCCCACAAATATACAGTCAATTCACTTTACAGTATATTCTGTGAAGCGCTTTGAGACGTCTAGAGGACGTGAAAAGTGCTATATCAAATGCAAGGATTGTTATTATTATTGCCTGCCCTTGTCCCGTGTCCTTAATACCCATACATACAACCTTGTCCAAGATCAGCAAACTGTATGGTTGGATTCAAACCAGCTAGCTCCCAGTCCATGAGCTGCAGCTCTCTTAAATGTTTGGATGTAGGTGTCACAGTCCTCTTTCATATCAACCGTAAGATATTAGCTGTAATCTAAACTGTCTTCACTGGGAAGTAGGAAATTGTTGGTCCTGATGCAATTCAGATTTATGCAGACCAGTCATCATGCTGTACATATCACTGTCAGTTTTGGTATTTCTCATCTCCATTTTTTCCTCTGAAACGTTTGGTTATAAAGTGAAATGTCACTAGTTTTACAACAAGCTGCATCAGTGTTCTGTTGAGAGGTGTAACAATTTTAATAAACAGCTCAAATAAGCTCAAAAAGTTTTAACCTAAAACCTTCTGAAGGTGACTTAATTTTTTAATTCTAAGTAATGTAATATGGCTGCATTTGTCAGGCTTTCCTTTTGTACACCATGACTAGTAAGGTCTGTTATAAACAGATCCACTGTCACTTGCAGCAACCATTTCCTGTTTGTGTTACCATATGGAACGGTTGTTATCCTGTTTGTGATGCAGTGAAGCTTTCTCTCTCGTTTCACAGAATGTATTCTTTTATTAAAGTGTTTTGATGCTGTAAGCAATATCCAGAATATTTTTACAATACACTACAAAATTACATTTGTATAGCGCCTTTCATGTCGGGAGGACGTCCCAAGGCGCTGGACAGTCAGGGATTTGGACTTGAGCTGGGAGATATTTAATCAAGTCACGGAATTAACATTAAACACTGAAGCGTATTTGTGTCTCTGCCATATAGTGATTGTTTTCACTGGTCGCATTATTTATAATATAATCCCGATGCAGCCAAATACCCTGCAGTGAGGTGTTAATGCTTTTCTGATCAAAGATTCAGAGACTAGTAGATGCTGCCATTGCCAATCTATCTGCCAAATGGCCTGTTTCATTGACTTCCAGTCTGTTGGTTTCTGCCTTGTCACGAGAACAAACTGGCTGTGTGATTGCTGATTAGGGTGAAAACATACTTCCACCTTAGGACAGGCATGCCTATTATAAGCAGACTATTAAATGACTACAGTGTGGACCATAGGAAATAGTTTCAATGGTTAGAAAAGTGACACTGAAAAATGTACATTTACTGTGAACTTCAAAAGTGATCTCATTTGAATTGGGAAGCAGATTCTCACAATCTATGAAATGACCTGAACTGTAATGTAATCGGTTGACGTTCATTTGTTCTCAGACGTTGTTGTTGAGAATGAGATACAGGGCAGCAAAAACCATCACTAGAATTTCCCTTCTCAGAGCTATTATTATAAACTGGGGAAGTGGATATAATTGGATATTAATGCATTTCATTCCCCTAGGAGATTGGACTCTTGAACTGGCCACGATTACTAGCTTTAACAGTGGCACTAGTGTTTTCTCTATAATTCAGAGGGCCACACTGTATTCATTGATTATGTTGCACCATGTCACACCTACATACCCGTCTGTGGCACGTGGCACTCTGAAATTGAGATTGCCCAAGTACTTAGTGTTGGCAGTACATTTAGTCCAGCCTCACATACATTGAACCTACTGGAGGTAAGTTCAATGTATGTCAATTCATTCCACGGGATTGATTGACATTAGTAAGTAGATGAGGCATTTCAACCATGTTGTGCATTTCTATATTATATTAGAGTTATGTGAATGCCCAGACAACAGGCTCTTCTATAAGTTAAAAGTAGGTTCTTTAAAAGCTCTTGGGCAGTTTAGTGGAGCTTTTAACATAGCCAGACATTAGCAGAGCCTGAATTGATTTGCGCTGTCTGCATTTTGTACTGCAGCGGTACTGATCCTTCACCCGGTGAAACCTCCTCCTCCTCCTCACGGTGCTTCAGGCAAGCAGGATCAGTGGAAATAGCTTTTTCGACCATGCATTTCTGACAGGATTTATAACGTTTTTTGTGTGTTGACTCAGTGCAGTTTTCTTGTAAATAGGGATATTACTTACTTGTTACAACTCAAAATGATGTCACCGTGGGGCACTGTTAGCAGCGATTGCTGTGTCACACGATGTCACAATGCCGTACTGCTTTATGTCCCGTTAGTTGCTGTTTTTCAAGCTTTCCACTTTACACGACTGATGTTCGAAACTCTCTGTTGAAAACACGCATCTGTAACTGATTATGGCAAATGAGGTTTGATGGGTTTATTATCATAAGATTTGGAAGTGTTAATTTAATAAGAGTTTATTAACACTATGTCGATCTTTAACTTTCTTAAGGTAGACAATTACATGGAGTTTGAAGGTGAAGACTGTGAGGAGGAAGTCATAAACCTCAGGGACACTGGTAAGGGTTCACCACGTCTACGTGGATTAAGCTAAAGAGATTTGCAGAGTCCCTTTTCATCAGTATTTCATAAAATCACAGAATTATTACAGCACAGAAGAAGGCCATTCAGCCCATCATGTCCATACCGGCTCTTTGAAAAAAGCTGTCCAAATCAATCTCACTCCCCCAATCTCTGCCCATAGCCCTGCAAACCCGTCCTCCCAAAATAGCATCCGCTTTTGTCCAGATGCTTTTTGTTTCCAGAATGGACACTTTCATGTTTACAAAATAACAATTTGGCACTCCTATCTTCCTCAATTACTGCTTGCTTCTGCAGCTTCCTAATTGCTAACACAATTTCTTATCACTATGGAAGCAAATTTCTTGTGTAAACCCAGTTACAAGCTAATGGAAAATAAGAAACTTTTCAGTGGCTTCCAAATGTTGAATTTTTGTATTAATCTAACGTAACTATTTGTTTGACTACAAAATACACAGTCACTACACTTTGCAATGCATTTGGTGAAACCCCTTGAGAAGTCTCCCGACATGAAAGGTGTTACATCGAAGGTAAAGGCTATTTACGTTGTTATATGTTTCAATAGCAACAAAAACAAACAACAACAAATTGCATTTATACAGTGCCTTTCATGTTGGGAGGATATCCCAAGGCCCTGGACAGTCTAGTGATTCAGTAATAAAAACTAAGAATTGAACAGGTCTTTAATATGAACTCAATACATCAGTCGGGCAATAAAGAAAGCTCAAAACAAAATGTTAGTATAATCTTGATTGTATAAACAATGGACATTGTGATCGGTAATATTTTCTGGACTCAGTTCAGAATAATCGAATCTTAATACTTTTTATGAAGTCACGAGCAAGTTTTGCCCCTTGTTACATCATGAGTTTGAAAAAACCTCATTCTGTAGCATCCACGCACCAATGTCAAACAGAGGGCACTGGTTTTAATGTCTGCTCACATGTGTGTATTTCATGAGCTTAGGAAGTTTTTCTTTCAAGTATGGGATTGCAGATGTGATCAGCGCCCTCTTTGTTTAAATACATGTTTATCTGTGTTCTAACCGATCGAAAGTACGGTAAATGCTAACCAGGGATGGTCCCATTGTGCTTCAGCTTCCTCAGACTGCTGTTCTGCACCACTGCAGCTCATCAAAACACAGCTGGCCAGATAAGCTTCAAAACACTAGACACCCATCATGAATGTGCTAATTGGCTAAGGAATTAAACAAATGTTGTTCGGATATTGTTTGAAGCACAGATGATTTACCACATTTCGTTGAATAGAAGTAAGGGCCAAAAATAATTGTAGCCCATAAAGGATTCTTCCTACGCGCTCTCCTTTGTCTGTTGAGGGATGCATCAGTTTATCTCGTCGGTTTCTATTAATCTGCAGCCATTAGTTTCTATTCTAAATAAGAGAAAGGTGCAGGGTGATTCATTCCAGTAATGTGGTTTATTCAAATCAAAATAGTTTAAGGATATTCTGTACAAGTTTGTGCAAATTGATTAATTCAATCTTAGCTTTGAAGGTGTTTCTCTGTAGCTCTTAAAAGAACAGGAGATCTCATAGCACATACATGTGGGGTTGACCGGTTTCACTGTAAGTTGGCCATATTTTAGTGCATGGGAAGCTGGCTGCAGGTCCACAGGGCACCCACATTATTAGCAAACAACAACAACAATAACTTGGATTTATATAGCGCCCTCCACGCCGGACGGCATCTCAGAGAGCTTCACAGTAATGGCTCCCGGGACCGAGCCAGGGGGAGGGGAGGAAGGTGACCAAAGGCGTGGTCGAAAAGAAAGGTCTTCAGCAGAGATCTGAAAATAGGAAGGGAGGGAGCGAGACGAAGGGAGTGAGGAAGGGAGTTCCAGAGCCTCGGGGCATAGTGGCTGAAGGCACGACCGCCGAGGGTGGAGCGGAGGACTCGGGGGACGAGGAGGAGGCCAGACCTGGAGGAACGAAGGCAATGGGTACTGTTTTGAGGAGAGCGGAGGTCAGAGAGGTCGGGGGTGCAGAGGAGTGGAGGGATTTGAATATAAGGGTGAGGATCTTGAAATCGATCCTCTCTAGGACAGGCAGCCAGTGCAGTCTGACAACAACTGGGGTAATCGGGGAGCAAACCTGCATTATAATGAAACGTTATCATGGGGCTCTACTGACATTGTTAAAGAGAAGTTAGTTGTCTTACAAACCTTATGATGGGATCAAGAAATAGCAGACCCAACTAAAATGTAGATAGATACAAGTGTAAAGTTGGTAATTATTCTTGCACAGATTAACTCAGAATGTTAGCAATGTAAAAAGACGACCTTGAGACAATCCTGATCTGATACCTTAAATGAAAAACAAAATTAGCTTGGGATGGAAGATTTTTAGAGAAGGAATGGATTCGACCCTCATAAAAGGAGCAGCATAGGTTTCAGCTGTAAAATGAAAACTGCCTGAGTAGGTTCAGGAGACGTGTAAATGTAGTGATCAGTTCTGACATGAAAAGGTCAGATGAGGCGAAGACTGATCACACTGAAATATTTTCTCAAATAATTGCAGTGTCAGTTAGCAAAAAGATGATGCTGTAATAGGCCTGTCGTGAACTGGCTCACTGTCGAGAATAAATTATTCTTTTCCCACGTTTATGATTTTAAAAAAGAATTGCAAAATATTAACTCATTTCTCTTTTTACACATTCGAAAACAGAAAATTGTTCCTATCAACTAAAATATTCAGATTTTACCTCAGTATGGACTTCATTTCTGCTGGCTGATGGCGTCAATGCAGGTCTTGCTTGTTACCATGCTGTCTTTCGGCATGACTGTGCATAGATTTAGTATATAGAAATTGCCAGCCCCAATGCCGCTTACGAATGTTGATGTGAGAGATTGTAATATTGTTTATGAAGTTGTCCTTTAGTGGGTCACACTTTGCCCTTGGAAGTATGATTGTGAGCATTGGATGATTTGAATTGTTATTGACAACGTTTTGCTTAAATTTCTTCTTTTCATCGTTCATACATTGGAGTCCTGTAGCTCAGTGGTTAGAGCACTCGCCTCGCAAGTGAGAGACCTGGGCTCAATTCCCTGCAGGGCGAAATGTTTGGCAAGTTTCCTTACTCCACATGCCTCTGTTTACCTAGAAGTAAGTAGGAACCCAGTTGTTAGTCAATTGATGGATTGCTTTTCCGGGGATAATAATTCTTTCAAAAAAAATTAATAAATAATAATAAATTGGTCACTTAAATCCAAGATTGTTTGTGGGGCACAGCTGTGCACAATTGGCTGCCACGTTTCTCCCACAAAATATACAGTCAATTCACTTTACAGTATATTCTGTGAAGCGCTTTGAGACGTCTTGAAGACGTGATAAGGGGCTATATATCAGTTGCAAGGATTATTATTATTAATGTTATTTTCCAGCACTTAGATAAGGAAGGAAGGCTCGTAGTATTAAATATTGTAATCCTTAACTGGAGTATTCGTTTAAGCTTCTTGGCCAGTATAACCTCAAAACCTTCTTGGTAAGACGATAGAAATTCAAACATGCAGCGTGAAATCAAAGCTGTAGGAAAATAAAGACAATTTATGCTCAGAAGGAAGTAAAAGCTTTTGCAACACCAAGATATAGAGATAATTTATGTTAATTGGAATTGAGATGCGTAGCAGTTGCAATAATGGAAGATTACCAAAATTAGTTTTGAACAGCAGGATGCCTGTCATTTGCATTAGGAGATGACCTGCATTAATATTATTATGCTGACAAAACCAAGACAATCTTGTAGATAATTAGGAAGGAATAGCATTATTGAAGCATTTATATACCAATATTGCTGAGATGAAACTGCGCTTTTGAGTTAATGGAAGCAATTTGAACTAAAACATTCCATTGGGCACCACAAAAGAGAGGATAGATGACTGGGAATTGTGGAATATGGAATTTGTACGATTGATTGATTATGCTTTGAGGAAGGGAATTTAGAAAAAAAATCCTTCAGTACTCTCAGGGAGGTGAGATGTGGGGGAGTTTTAATCATAGCTAATAAACCAAATGATCATTGTAAGTAGAAGTCACAAAGCCAGAAACAAGGGAATCTGGAGCTCATTCTATGAAGATTAAAAGAAAATCTATTTTGTGATAGAGGCACAAAATCCACAAACAAAGCTATATTGGACTGGTTGTTTGAGTCAAAGAAGCCACACAGATGGTTTGATGAGAACTGGACATTGGGACAGAGGCACATATTGTACTTGATGTAGAATAATGAGATCCAACCCAGCTCCACCTGACTGGAATACTGACATTAGGACATTGACATAGAGAAGTGCCCCTTTCCCAACGCTACTATCCCTGAATTTGATGAGCATTAAAAATTCACTGTGAGAAATAAAAAGATCATTGAGAAGTTCACTCTGTGTGCGTAAACCTCCAGGATATCTTTACATCTGCACCAAATAAATAATATAGATGTGAGTAACCTCATTGAGCAGACTCTATTCTTGCTGATCACCTGAATTTCCCTCGCGTATCTTATGTTTTGTATCTCTAATGCACATTAATGGTCTTCCATGTGGTGATAAAATCGACAAAATTAGTCACAATTAAGGAAAATGAAAGAATTCATGCATTACATTTGCTGTTTACTCTTTTCCACACTGTGCATACTACACTATCAGCCTGCCTGATGTGTTTATTGAAAGAGAATTACTGTAGATCATCATATTTGGCTACCAAACCAAAGGATTGTAAACTAGAGATGGTGGCTACATTTTTTCTAAGCCAAGTAGTTGATTTGATCGTCTCAGGCTGAAGATGGACCACCATTTAGATTGCCAAATCGGCAATTAACGACTCTGTAGATGGTCTCATGATCAAAGAGAACAATACCACTTTGGATAATAATAATAATCCTAGCATTTGATGTAGCGCCTTATTATGTCATTGAGATAATAAGCACTTCACAGATGTAGTATAAAGTGATTTACAGTATATTTTGTGAGTGAAATTTGGCTGCCAGTTGCTCACATTGGATGCATTGGATAGTGGATGGCATTGGGCAAGTTAATGATATTGAAACTGATTGCGGTCATGCATTCTTCCATGAGAGGAGTAGGCTGTGCTAAGGTGAAGAACATATACTTATCATCACTTGACGTTTTTGCCCTTTGAGGAAATTGTACATGAGCAGCTCATGAAATATGCCTCAGAGAGGTTAGGATGTCATACTCTTTCAAGAGCTCCTGAAATGACAAGAGCAACTGCACTAACTCCAGGCAAACAGATGCATAGTTTGGAGAGTATTGGTCACATCTACTACATTGCTGGAGGGCCCTGTTTATTTAGATTTTCTCAGACTTGGATTAATACGCCTGTTTACTCTCCATCATGAACTGAAGATGAATTTTGATTGTATTAAATTCAAATCCAGCTGTAGAGAAAGTTGTAATAGATTGGAGAGTTCATTTAAAGTGCCTATAATTATTTCATTTTTAATTCTTGGGAGCTGTTGGAAAACTCCGATGTATTTTCCTTCCTCCCCTCAGCCCCACCCACTCTCTACCACCCATTACTTGTACCGTACTCTCAAAGTGAAAGGTGGTCCCAGAAATCTTAGATGGGCCACTAAACTGCCCAGTCTCTCTATCATCCTCCTGTTCACCAAACGTAAAAAAAAATCTTTTTTTATAATAAAATAGAGATCTCCTTTGTTAACTTAACAATATTATATATTTAGGTATTCAGTCAGCTCTGAGTACATTATGCTTTTGACTGCTGAGCTCCTGCTGATAATTAATGACTTCTGATGAGAATATAATTAGTGGCTTAATTAGGATTATCATCCATTATTACAGTAGTCTATCTTCAAGCCAGCTGTGTGACGCATGATTAGTTATGAGTGTGGCTTATGTGGTATCAGCTACTGCCAGTAAGCTCTGGTAAGATATAGTTATTTTCATTTAAAATGTGATTTGTAATTAAACATTATTATTGTGGACATTATTGGAGATTATGTTCTTTTTCCAAATTCTACTATTCAAAAATGTACAATCATGAATACAGTGCTCAAAAAGTACTTTTAATTAAGGTGGTCACAGTAGTTGTGACAATGGTACCAAACCAAAGGAAAGTATAATTTTTAGTATCGAGAACAGTTCTGAGTTTACCTTCTCATGAATCTGATCCCAACACATTCTGAAATTTCTACAACATAATGTAAACACACTGTTGTCTGCAGGCAATGCAGTTCAAGACCTGACTACAAGAGACTGTAACGTGCTTGTACAACAATTTATAGTGTTCAGGGCAAAGGGAAGATGTAAGTGTGTATAAAAATAAATAGTGTATTAAAAATGTGAGTGTGTATACCACACAGCACACATTTTAGATTGAATAGACGTAGGTTAAGCAGCTATGATGACTTATTTTTCCTAATTGTACTCCTCTGTTTATTTTGTGTATCTTTTTAAATTTTATTTCATAGAAACTTATCTTTTCTGCTGAAATGCACAATGGAGTTGCTTGGCTGTAAGATCCAATTTGTGACACTGCAGTTAATCTTCATAAACCCTACGGATTCATTTAATGCCATTAATCTTTTCTGGGTTTTTGTGGTAAGATCTAATAATTCATACAACATGCAGACATCAACTATTATTCCATGACTTGGGGCAAAATAGAAAATGAAATGCTTTGCCCTACCTATTAATTTTTTTTTACAAAATAATTGACTGCTTCTTAGAAGTGGTGAAAAGTAAACGAGAAAGTACCTTGTATGAAGTTTTATTATAGGACACTACAAAGCACCATTTTAAAAATATTATTCCCTGTATTCATTGAGCATATTTTCCTCCACAAATATTTCCCCTCAAGGGCTCGCACCTCCATCAGTTAGTGGCATGGAAAAATTTGCAATTGATGTCTTCAAAGATGGAGTTGGCAGTCACCCTCTGGCAGTCATGGGGGTGTGTACATTCTTTGCTCGGGGTTTCTGATTATATTAGCTGACAAAACTGGTACACTCTCAGTTGCGCACCGTGTTTGCAAGGCTATTTTGCTGCTGAACAGGTGCAGATGAAGGGGTTTATGCCAGCAGCATGCAATGACTTCAACTCTGGAAATGCCAGTGGAACAGAAACTGGTGGCATTAGGGTCCTTCAGTCATAATGACATTTTGCTGTTCAATTCATTTGTTTTAATTCTCCTTTTTTTACCCCATGTAATAACAGGTCAGCTGAAAGGTCTAACTAACTTGCTGGAACCATCTGTGTATTCTTATCAAATATCGAAGCAGCATCCAAAATGCTCTTCATCTGTATTAACCAAATGTTATGTTGATTCAGCAAAAGAATTGCAATAGTGCCATAGAAATCAGAGCTTTGGATTTTTGATGCTGCCAAGCGCCTTTGCAGGAGGGTAGAATAGGAGAAGGGAAGATTATCCTAAGGAACTACACGTCAATAGATTTTAATTCTTTCATTGCAATTTTTTTCATATCATGCTTCATGACATTTTCCATCAGTTGCCTATCTCTACAAACTGGAGAACATTGACTGACTTGTGAGAACCTAAGCACAATTCCAGAGTGCTTTCCACTGCAGAAATTTTGATTGCATTGAGTTTTCGCATGGACAGATACCAACGTTGTATTCCAAATGAGGACAAATAACTTAATGCTTTACTTTAATAAACTGGCTGGTGTGTTAAGGAAGCATTTTGTCAGATCACTTGTTCTTGCTGAGTGATGTATGAATGCGTACCAAGTACAGTATTCCCTTTTTAATGAAAGAATGAATTCCCTTGAAAATGAAAGAATTGCCCACCCCAACTACTCTAAATTGTGTAATTAGTGTTCTGCAAATTAGACAAAGAAGGGATGGTATCTTAAGTGGTGTAAAACTAATAGCTCACATGATGTTAATGCTGTATACTATTATCTGAATCTGTACCATGCAAGATTGAATTGCAAATTATATTTAGAATAATCACATAATATTTGCCACCTAGGCCCTTTATAAGTAAGAATTTTTTTTTAACAGGCAATAAAACCTTCTCATTTATAGTGCAGTAATACTTTGTTCAGAAGCTTCTTGCAAAGAGAATAGAATTTGCCTTGTAAGGGGACCAAGCTCTTCAGTTTTCAGGTGAATGTAGTGTTATCACTGATGGTTGTTCTAATGAGATCTCTCCTCTTTGTGTTCTGGGGAATGTTTTTTGCTGACAAACTACATTTTGCCCACAAAATACATAGTCAATCAACTTTACAGTATATTCTGTGAAGTGCTTTTTACGTCTTGACAACGTGATAAGGTGCTATATTAAATGCAAGGATTATTATTATTATATAATGTTGTTGGTGTACTAACTCATTCATGACCTATGGATGTAGCTTCCCTGCTCCAAATCCCCCTTTGTGAGTTCCATCCTCTCAGCTGGCTGATGATGGAGCGTGACCCAACCCTCACCAGGAGCTATCCAGGCTTTCTGTCTTTGCATAATTTTTTGCCAGGCATATCTATTTATAAATGTTTCTCACATTAAATATTATGTCTGTTCATTGAATGCAGGACTGGATCTGCTCCCAGGTGAGACAGAAGTGGAGATCCCGATAGACTACTCTCATTCCATATGCAAAGACACATCACTTGACTTCAGCACAAAACCAAATAGTGAAGAATTTAGTAATGAAACATGTGACCAGGTATGTGGCTTACTTTTTTGTGAACTCCTATTGAGCAGCTTGTGTTTTTACTTTATGGCAATCATACTCTTATCACCACTTCATACTCTAATTCCAAACCAAACGTAGGTATAACTCAGAACCAAACTGCTTGTTAATGTTGAATTTACATTTGTCCTTTGGCTCAGCACATCCAAAATGGCAAGTGAAAACAGGACATGTTTCTATCTGTTGATGCCAATTTCCCACCATCTCTCCAGCTCATGGTCACTGAGGCTAATTGGAGTAATCTCAGGTACACACAGTAAGCGGCTTCTGATTGAAAAGTAATTTAATGGGTTAGATGTCTCCTGAGTTTCCTGGTTGACTGACTTGTAGTATATATGTAGATGAAACATTCAGTTGAAGAATGATCGCTAGTGTACCTACTGATGATGAAATTGATCCAGATCTGACTCCAGTGTTCCTTTGCGCTCAGTTAATTCAGATAATAGTTTTCATTGATCCATATTGTAATACATTTGTTAAATATTTATTTGTCTTTTATTGTATGTATTAGGACAACGTTAATTAAGGGTGATGGCAATTAAGAGAGACACAGTCGTAATCAAAGTCGTCATCCAAAGTTATTAAAATGACAAAGACACAACCTCTGGCCATTGGTTAATATTCTAGAATGGGAATAATCTTACAATTGTTATGAAATATGTTGGAAATTTGTGAAGGTTTCTACAGTAAAGTCTACAAATTGAATGAACCCTGTTTCCTGCAAAAACCTCAATTCCATTTAATGTTGATTCAGATATATGTTCACTCATCTTTACTTGTGACACCTTGTTGTCAAGTCCTGTGATGTGGCATTAGTAGGTCTTGTCACTCGGCATGGGTTGTCATCGTAAAATCTGCCTCTTTATTTTTCCATCAGGTACAGACAGATGAAGTCCAGCCTTTCTCTTTGGATGAAGACTTTGATTATGACTGTGTCTCTCTCAAGCCAAAATACACAGAAGCTGAACTTGAAACTATTTGTACCTTGTCAAATCAGCCAAGCAACAGTACTAAATGCAACTCAATAAACTAGGAGATTCTGACCTGTAAACACAGCTGTAAGAATAGTACAGGACTACAGGAGGACTTTTGTATGAAGAGCAAATTGGTGCTTGCAACACAAATATGAAATTGAAAACACTTTAATCCCAGTGAGATTATTCAGACACCTTTTATAATACTTTTGCAATACAATGGATGTGTATGTGTGCATTAAATCCCTTTTCTCATTCTACAACAAAAATAATAAAATTGATGTTTTCATATTACAACGTTTGCTTCCTTTCTGCCTGGAAGTAAAGAAACCAAAGCGAGCGATTCCAAGAAAATACATTCGGACGTGACCTGAATCTTTGTGAGTTCATAAATCAAATGGTTTGTCATCAGAACTCCAAATTGAGATTATTTTGCTCCAATCCCTCTCCACTCTAATTATGTGCCTTGGTGTCATTTATAATTTATGTTTGCCAATACAACAAGCCTTGTGCTTTACGGTTACTCGTGTGCAACACTGAGAAACTTCAGCATGTTAAATCACTGTAACAATTGCAAGCATTTATAATGTTACTTATGATATCACTGGAGGATTGTAGCGGTTATTCTGGAATTGGTTAGTGGGCCATGACTGGTTCACATCTTGTATATAAATATGTGATCTCATCTCAGCGTTCCAGTGATCTCATCAGAAGAACAAAGTGAGTTGCTAACATGATACACCCCAGAGTATAAGTGAGAGCAAGAGAAGAAAACAAATGTACTCAAGATTATCGGCACCATTTCCACCATCTACGGAGCAGGAATTAAAACAGTAATTTGTGTTGATAACCTGCAATGTTATCACAGGGAAGCATTCAATGATGAAATTGTCAGACAACCCACGCAGAGAAATTGGTCAAAGCATGCTCTCGGGGAAAAAGTATTTTGCTGAGAAGTAAGTCCATGCAGCAGCAGGTGATGCTCAACTCAGTGCAAACACAATTTATCAAAAGAATGGGAATTTACAGCAGAAGCTGTGAATAAATTATGGGTATTCGGATTGTATTCATGAGCTTCAGACGAGTCAAATGTTGACCCACACATCTGTACTTGATGCATTTCCATAACTTGTTTATTTGATAGCAAAGAACATTCTTACACTTATACAGATATGTAATATTATTCATGGTATTGATATCTATAATGCATTCAAGGAGTTTCTGGTAACTCATTCCCTAACAATGTTTGTTCTTTGACTGTAGGGGGAACCACCTTCATTGTAGGCAGAAAGGTGGTTCTTAAACAAAAACAAGTCGCTGGGAACACTCAGCGGGTCAGGCAGCATCTATGGAGAAAGGAAAGTGAGTCAATGTTTCGAATCCACGACCCTTCGTCAGAACTGAAGGAATTAAGGTGGTTCTGTTCTGGTGATTTTTTAAAAATTGTTCACGAGCAGCACAAAAACTTTATCTTTATTGCTGTGTTATCTGTCAGCAGCCTCTTTGTGTGAAGCAAAATGTTTTGAATATGTTCTGCAGTTTGACGGGAAGATCAGCCAGTTCATCTGAGCATCAGGATGTAAGCATGACAGGTGTAGAAATTTGCTGCCGTTTGGTGAATGCAAAAGATGGAGAACAAGTTTTGCGGTTGTGGGAGTTTAAATAAAGACCTGCATATACTATGTTCACTGGTTTAGAAGAAAGAGAAATTTTGATGTGTTTTGGGATGTTTCTTCCCCAATTTTCTGCTGTATACAATTAGATGTGTTTGAATTGAGGAGATTGTGGCAACCCCCAGGTACCTTCCAGGCACGATCAGTTCAGTCAACAGATTTAAGAAAGCGTCGCGGTGTTTACACAAGATATAAATCAATGGAACGTGTTCATCTGGAAGCAGAGATACTGGCCTGGGTCGTGCTTGTAGAATTCCTGGAATTGATTCAGGAAAATTTTGACAGGTTTTTAGGTTTTAAGTGCTGCAGTCTGCCATTGACTTTCTCATTGATCTGTTCCAAGCTGACTTGAATCTCATGCAGTGATTGAAACTGAAATTTTGGTGTTGGAAAGCATTGGTAGCTGAGAATGAAGACGTGAAAAAACACTTTAAATTGCATTATTTGACAGTGTTTGTGCTGTCGGGCTTTAGTTTCCAAAGATGCACTGCTCTGTTGTACCATTGTAAAAGCAAGGTGTTTTGTGTTTGCTTCTGCTCATCTCTGTAAGGCCTTTGTCTTCACTAAGGAACATTGTAAAGTCCATGCTGCTTTCTCACCTAAGAAACAAGCTACAGGTATCGCATGTTGTCATTTGCACTTGGCCAGGAAACTAGTGGATGGCATGAAATGTCAAACACCTTATTATGCACAATGTACATTTGTAAAACAACCATCTCTATTCATTAAATTGCCAGGGGCTTAGCATTCATTATGGTGCATTCGGTGTAATGTAACGTTATTTTTCCAGCACAAGCGAGTTAATTAAACTTGGAAACCAATGTCCTAGAACAATGTAGTCATAATTATCCTTTCAGTGAGAGAGCACCTTTATCACATCAGTGTCTCAAAACTCTTCACCCAATGAGCTACTTTAAAATGCTCCGACTGTTACATAGGCAAAAGTGGCAGCTGATCAATGTTGGCAACAGTCCACAAACAGTAATGAAGGGAAATGATCAAATTTAATCTGTGGTGAATTTGAATGAGGGTAAAGGCAGTCATCTACTGCATTGTAGTCTAGACAGCTTCAAGTGGGAGAAGAGACTTATTGTGCTCAATTGTCTCCATGTAATGAATCTATTGCTGCAGCCAAAGTACTATTCTCTATTTGCCATAATCTAAAATGTGGCACAGGGAGGTGGGAAAGGATAATTGTTCTACTGAATGTACTGGTGATGCATTGCTTTAAAACATCTGTGAAAAAATGACACATTTACGCATTGCACTCGTTATGTTCCTCTTTTGATAAGTCATTTTTCTCTAAAAAAAATTATTTTTGTCAGATTCTGCTTTCCAGTTGCCTTGATTTTTAAATTCCAAACACTTAAACCCCACCAGGAACTGAATTGTTTGGTTGATAAAATTACTTCATAAAAGGCTGTTTGTCTTATCAACCATGAAAACATTTCTCAAAAACTTCATTTGATCCATTAAAGTTTCTCAGTGTGACTTTTTGGGGGAAATTTAGGATGCATTTGTTTAGTCAAATTGTGTGCATCTGACACAATTACACATGTGTATTTGTTGTGCGAAACCACTCAAATAGAATCAACACTTTTCACTCAACTTAAAAGTTTTTAACGTTATTTCAGGTTCACAGACTCATCTGTCTCTCTCTCTCCCATTCTCAATCCTCTCTGGACTTTTAACCCTTCCATTGGATTTTCTAAATCATCCCATGTTTACCTCCTAATAATAGTCACCTGCTTTAAATCTTAATTTATCCAACAGATTTTGTGCAGTACAGACTCCACGAACACATCAACACGGCGATCAGGAAATGTAATATAGTTTCTGTATCAATCTGAGATAATGCTTTGGCTTTGAACCTTTAAAATCATTGTTGTGCTATTCAGAGCCTTGGGACATCCTCCCGACGTGAAAGGCGCTATACAAATGTAATCTTGTTGTTGTTGTAGTTCTGCGATTCCATAGGAGTAGATAATTATTTGGAGAGGATAAGTTTGCAGGGCTATGGGGTGGGAGTGGGGGAGTGGGATTGATTTGGACCGCTCTTTTCAAAGAGCCGTCACAGACACGATGGGCCGAATGGCCTCCTTGTGTGCTGTATGATTCTATGATTCTATGATATGATTCTATAGTTACACACACTTTCATAGCAAAATCCTACAGCAAGCATGTGGGACAGAAGGTGCAATTTAATCATATCTAATTATTATGATAATGCACATTTTTTGTACTTTTTGTGCATACTTCAATTCCATTTAGCTTTGATAACTTTCAACAGATGATGTTGAAGACTGAAGTTGTTTTATCCTGAAGATTTTGAAGTAAAATGGGAGTCAATGCAGATGGTGCAATTTTGCATTTGAATCGAAGAAACCTCAAGCCGAAGAGACCACCTATGTTTCAGTTATACACACCACAGAGATGTGTGTTGTGATAGTGGCCATTCCCACTGTAACTGTTTAGATGTGGGTTGAACTGACAGTTGCCACAGGTGGGCAAAGATACACACATTGCGGTAAAAGTTACCTTGAGTTAAAGCGACTACAGTATGATTGGATCATTTGTAGGCCATTAAAAGGAGCTGCATCCAACAATCTGTCAGGTGCATACTGTTTCGAGGTTTTGCTCTTTTGTTTTCATGAAAGGCTTTGTTGAGATGAACAAAAACTCTCTCATGTTAATACGAGGCCCCTCTCATCAGTAACACATTTGAATATGTGTGAGGGTGATAATGTGCGGTCCGATGGGATTACTTGCTGTGGTTCTGACCACAATCTGAGGTTGAACACTGATGCCAACATCTGTTGGAGCTAAAGGGCTTCACATATCTGGGTCAAAAATAATACCTAATTCTTATTCAATGCTTGAAAAAAGTTAACATATTTGAAAACATCTCTCACAGATCTCAAAGTCTTTGAAGACAAGGCAATGAAAAATAAACAAAAGTTTCAAGTGGTATGATAGGCAAGGAGGTGACTGGTGGAGTGACCATGAAAACCATATGGTGAGTTACAATTTTCTCCCAACTAACCCCAAAATGAGCCCAAAGATGTTACTGATTATTTATTTCACTGCTAAAACAACACTTGGCACTTATATAGCTCCTATCACGTAGGAGGGTGTTTCAAAGTGCCTCACAATGTCTTGAGTGGAAGCCTGAGCTAGGAGGGAGGTGGATAGCTGGGGAGAGGGTGGCTGAAGGCACTTTGAAAGGAAGGCTTTTAGGTATGAAAGCAGAGAGAGGGCGAATTGGATAATAGGTTTCAAGGAACGTTGAGACTCATCTTGATAATTATTTTGGGACGACAAGTTTGCAGGGCTACAGTGAGAGAGGGGGCTAGTGGGATTGATCTGGATAGTTCTTGTCAAATAACTAGCACAGACACGATGGGCCGAATGGCCTCGTTCTGTGCTGCAAAATTCTACGATTCAATGATGCATCAATGCCAAGATTCCATCCTGGTTCCATGAACTGCAATGAACAACTGGAGAGGTTAATTTGGTCAGCGCCCGAGGCTGAGGAGGCTTGGCAGGAGCTGAGCAGGATAGCCTTTCAT